CGTACTATTGAGAACGACAACGCTACTGGCTGAAGCGCCCCCTTCGATAACATTGAGAAAGTAAGCATGATTGAAATTTATCCAAGAACTGACTCCATCCCAAAATTTCAGATTCGGAATGAATAAGCCGGTTCCACCAGCGCTAAGGGTTAGATTGCTAAGCGTACCTAGACTAGTAATATTAGGCTGAGCAGCGGTTTGTAGCGTTCCTGTTATCGACGTCGCTGTGAGCGAGCTCAGGGTTCCTAGGCTGGTAATGTTGGGCTGAGCAGCTGTTGTTAGCGTACCCGATACATTACCCGAGCAATTTACAGCGGTTAGAGTACTTAACGATGTTATATTAGGCTGAGCAGCAGTCTGTAGCGTACCAGTAATGTTAGTTGCAGTTAGCGAGCTAAGACCTGTAATGGATCGACTTGCACCAGTATAGGTTAAACTGCCTCCGATAGTCAATCCAGTAAGCGTACCTAAGCTGGTGATATTTGGTTGAGCAGCCGTCGCTAGCGTTCCATTGATGTTTCCACTCACGGTGAGCGACGAGAGTGTTCCTACACTAGTTACGTTGGTCTGAGCAGCAGTTGCCAATGTACCAGATATGTTTCCACTCACGGTGAGGGACGATAGCGTGCCTAAGCTAGTAATATTAGGCTGAGCCGCTGTCTGCAGCGTGCCAGTAATCGACGTTGCCGTCAAACTACTAATAGTAGCAATTTCACCTGATGCACCAAGTACCAGAGCTTTGTTGATAGCGGCAGTACCTGGAGTAATATCAGCTACATAAGTTGGTACGCCTGAAACGGAAGCACCATTAACAGTTAGGCTACTACAGCTTAGTGCTCCAAGACCGCTGATGTTCCCACCAATTCCAGGGACAAGCGCTACACCAGGTGATGCTACGCCTTGAGAGACACCAGTAATGTACGTCAAGCGATAGTCATACTTGTTCAGATAAAGAGTCTGAGCATAGTCATACGTTAGAAACCCGCTGGCATCCAATTGGAGAAAGAATGCCGGATTATAAATCGGCGATGTGAATATCGGGCTAGGATAAGAAAAACCTGAACTCATCTTTGTTTGATCCTATATAGTTTAGACGATAATCATGAGCGGTATTCCAGATTTCGGAGCTTCAATCCCTAAAAAATTCAAAAGCGCCTCTATGGGTGATATTCCAGCACTTGACATCAAAGCGCTGTTTAGAATGGTGGTTCTGGGGCCATCGTTCTCAGGGAAGAACAAATTATGTATGTTCATCCTCAAGCATTCTCCTCACGTATTTGCTCATCTAACGATCATTGCTCGTAATCCTCACCAGGAGGTATATGAGTATCTTCGTGATAAGCTTGATGACTTTATCACATTCACCGACCCTGACTCGCCTCCGAGTGTTGAACGGGTACGTCATACACCAATTAATTCCAATAAGCCTGAGCTCGTCATCATCGATGACTACAGCAACGATAAGCTTCTTCAGAAGAATTTGTTCTCTCATTACTTCACTAGAGGGCGCCACTTCAAGCTATCAACCATCTTCTTAAGCCACAGCTACTTCGCAACGGACAAGATGATCAGATTGAACTCAGAGTACGTAGCGATCCTGAAAGCTAATTCTACGCGAGACCTCCAGATGGTTGTGAAAGATTTTAATATCAAGGGAGTAGATGAGCGTTCAATCGTCTATTATTACAACAAAGCCACGGAGCGAAAGGGCCAAATGCTCTTCATTGATTCGGTCAAGGGTCAGATCAGGTATAACTTCGATAGACCGATTCGTATCGAGGACTAATTCCAATTTATCAAACAAAAATATGCCTACAAACATATAATCAATATGTCCAGCTTTATCAAACTCGACAGCACCAATCTGGTACAAGATGGAACCAATTCAACCTGGAAATACTCCTTTCCCGGATCGGCGGCTGACTTCCGCGATGTAGTATGTGCCATTCAATCGATTTCGATTTGCATTGAATCAATGTTATACTCGATGTATGACAGCGAGTATAACATTGATTCAATGCAATTTCAGAACACAACGTTCAAAATCGAAGTACCTACCGCTGCAACTACATCCACAATCAGTGTATCCCTCCCTGATAGTATTTATTCGTATGACGATATCAACCGAAGCATTCAGACTGCTCTTGTCAATGCTGGGGCGTATCTAATCGATCCGTCGGGGGATAACGTATTCTATATCAAAATGAGTGCTAACAGTGTCTATTACGCTTGTCAGCTTGATTTCTCTCCTGCGCCTACAACTCTACCAACTACCGGTGAAACATGGACCAGACCTACCTCCGGTTTATACTCCTCTGGTGGTACTGGATTGCCGACTACTACTCGCGTTCCTCGACTGATCATCGATAATGCTGAATTCGGTAAAGTTGTTGGTCTCACAGCGGGTACATACCCCTCCACATCAGCTACTGTTGCAAGTGCTCAGCTATCGAACATCATTCCTCAGATTCACCCGACCAGTTCCTACATCGTTCGTTGCGATCTGATCAAAAACGAATACGTGGCTTCTGGTGATATTGTCAGTGCTTTTGATAGAGGTGATGCCGCTATTGGAAAGGTCATTTCATACAAACCGAGCCAGTATGCGTGGATGAACTGTCATAATGGCGCTCGAGCTAGTATTACACTCAGTATCTATAAACAAAATGATAAAAAAAGTGATTTTCAGAGATACGTCGGTATCCATCATGCTTCTGATTCCTCCAAAAAAATAAGACATCCAGAGTATTTTTGTGTAGGGCGGCTACAACGTAAACGAACCACCAGTCTTACGACGTGCCCTGAGCGCAGCCATCTTAGCCTTCATCTCTGGCGAACCCTTCGCTGGACGTTTCTTTGCTACGCCTACACCATAGCGGCGACGAACCTCCTTTCGCACAGATCTGATTAGATCCTCATGTTCCGGCTTGATAGCTTTTGATAGTAGGAACTTCTCACCAGCATCGATCGCGTTGGTGATGACCCCCTTGCGCTTCGTGTATGCAAGAGCTTTCTTTGCAGCCTTCTTTACGTCAGCCATTGATACGCGACCTCCTTCCTTGTCGCTATCGGAATCATAAATACCAATGCCGGTTAGGAACTTGATTGCAGCTCTGGCTGGAACAGCAGCCGTTGGCTGACCAGCATAAGTAGCTAAAGCAGGAACCGCCGCATCAACGGCTCTGGATAGTAGACCTGAATCCTTAGCAAATTTGTATGCAGACTCGATCCCTCCCCATACTTTGGACCAGATAAAACCTCCTTGAGCCTTTTTGTAGCCCTTCTTCACTTCGAGCTTGGTAATGTCGAGTCTGACACCGCGTCCAGCTTTACGAGCCTTGAGCGCCTTTTCAAACGAAGCAGGGTGGAGATGGATGACTGAACCACTACCCTTTAGTTCGCTTGAGGTGAGGCTGAGCTTACCTGTCTTGAAAGCTTTGGTAAGCTTCCGCGCAGGAATATCACTAGAGATTGTTAATTCTCGATACATGATTACTATATACGTTGAATTAAATTTATTCCAGAATTGTCAAATTTAGATCTTTCATTGTTTTGAATACATCTGGCTTACGGTATTGCTTCGAATATAGCCATAGGACACAGAATGGTCCACAGTAGTCTCCATAGGTTCCTTGGTATTGCTTGGTGTTGTATCGATCGATACCATACTTCTTTGGTGGTCCTTCCTCCATACTATCGAAGAATTCACCATAATGAACCGCCGTCCAGTGTCCTACCTCAAGATTAGGAGGGCGAAGTAGAATCCGAAATGACCCTTTCTTGGGGAGATGGGACTTTATCTCATTTGATTCGAATATATTATCGAGTTGAACGTTCATTTTCTCAGCGAGTTCGATGAGATCATGATCTGAGGTGATTGGCTTGATGAGCTGCGACATAATATTTAATTTTATCAAACTATATTAGGATCCATATAGATTCAACGATGAGCGAAACTCAACTATCCAATCAGTACTTTTACCATAGCTCGCTTAAGAGCTACCCGGAGATCAAGGTATCTTCGAGCAAGCGTGTACCGCACGTCATTGACCTAAATCAGGGTTCGTACCAGAATGGTGTCATCACTATCGATGCTACGGCTCAGCTTAACGGTTCCGAGGGCTTCGCAAGCCTTCGTGATGCCTACATTACGCTTCCCTACAAGGTCTCAATGAAGAATGGTGGCACTGCTCAAACTGTCGCTGCTAATCGTCTATGTGCTACTCTAAAATGCCGAAAATTGGAACGTTATTGATAGTCTGAGTCTGGAACTCAACGGAAAGACTATCGTCTCTATGGCTGACTACAAGCTCTTTTGGAACAACGTTCGTGCTCAGACTGGCTACAGCCCTCAGTACATTGAAAAGCACGGAGCTGAATCGTTCTTGTACCCTGACGCTGCTCAGTCGGTATCATACAGTTCTGGATCCGCATCTACCAGTGGTGATGGATATTCAAACACCATGGCATTCTCGTCTTCCTTTGCTGTCTCGGCTCCTCCTGGTGGTGCAACTATTCCTAATGATGGTTTCGTTAAGCGCCTTCTATCGAATCCTCCTACGGCTGGCGCTGACTTCTCCAGCTCGTGGCCGTCGGTAGGTGGTGCTGCTGCATCGACTACCATTTCTAACCAGACCTCGCGTGGAGCTTTCGTACCTGGTGGTACTGCTGCTAACGCAATAATGGGGACGTGGAACTACATGCTTAAGATTAAGCTCACCGATCTGCATCCTATCTTCCGTGAGCTTGACTTGATGGCTAACCCTCAAATTCGCCTGCGTTTCCGTGTGAATCAGGGAACGTCTGTAGTCGCGGTAGATGCTTCAAAGGGTATGTCGCTAACCTCTACTACTCTATCGTCTGGTAATAGTTGTCCAGTCATGATTGCCGCTTCTGCTACCGGTAATCCGATGAATGGTGTGCTTGCCGCATCTGCTGGCTTTAGTGTTGCTTGGGGAGCGGTTGTAAATGCTCTTGAACCTACCATCGATGGTACATACATGCCTTTTACTACTGCTCGTTTGTATGTCCCTTTCGTTCATCTTGAGAACCCTCAAGCTATTATCTCTAAGCCGGTTAAGAAGGTTCGCTACAATGATTGCTACGCACAGTGGTTTTACCAGCGTGCTGGTATTGGTAAGTCCTCGACTCAACTAAATGCTTCTTTCGATTTACAGCTGTCGGCAAGTGTTAAAAACGCGAAATATGTTGTGCTTTTACCATTCGCGGAACAGACAAACAACTTTGCCTCTGCTACTGTTCAGCAGTTCCAGAGCCCCTTCGATAGCTCTCCATACACGCTTCAGCCCGGGTCGTCGATTCGCAACTTTAACGTTCGTATTGGCTCGACTCAGGTGTTCGATATCAGTCATGACTATGATTTCCACCACTTTACCAACGAAATTGCTAAGATTTCAGCGATTAACGGAGATCTAACCCCTGAGCTCGTAAATGGTCTACTTGACTATCAGACGTGGTCGCTCACAAACCGCATGCTTATTGTCGATGTCAGTCGCCTGACTGAGCGCGATGTACCTCAGGCTATTCAGATCCAGGGTACGAACGCCGGATGCCAAGGTGTGAATATGCTGATCCTCGTAATTAGCGAACAGGAACTAATGTTCGATAGACTAACCGGAGAGGTTCTAGACTTCACTACAGCGTAAGTAAAAAAAAAGATATTTTTTAGTTCAGTTCCTTGAGTAGCTTTGGACACTTGTCAATCACGAATTGACTTTTTCTTAGCCAATCGAGATAGCCTGGATCCAATTTACTGATCTGCTGTAAAGATTTGCCTCGATACTTACCCCACGTCATCATATAGGAGTTATCGTTATTTAGGAATCTTGAGTGAAGAAAGATTTTCATTTCCTCGCTAATGTTGAGACTGGATTGGTTGTGAATCCAACGACAGTATCCAGGATCATTCTTGAATACATCCTCAATGGATTGACCTTTGTATTTTCCGAAAGATAGTTCGATCGTCATGTTCTATGTGTGGGTATCTATATACATAGCCTCTTAATTTTTTTGAAAAGAATTTAATTCTGAAAATGACGTCGTAATGTGCCAGTAATTATTGGGAGTTTCATCTTACCCTCGCATGTGCGACTACAGGGTCGCGCGTCTGGTCGCTGGCTAACGGACGCCTCCTCGAGCTCTGAGGTGGTTGAGAGGTCGTGTAGGTAAAACGGACGACTATCCACAAAGATCGTTCTAGCACCGTTCTCGGAGGTAAATTACGGTAAGAAATTATGAAAATAAAAAACTGCCGGCGTAATGTGCCGCGACCCACAACTCGGAGTGTAGCTCCGGCGGGAAGGATAAATGGAGTGCGCTCTCGCTCCTCCACTACTCGGTGATGACTCGCCCTTCGTATACACGGCCACTTCTTCACTACTCTTGGCCTGACCACGGGTAAACGCACACTACGATACTAGCAGGCGCGTCCACCGACAGTCATAATCCTACCAACAGGTTTATCCAATTGCTACGGGAACAGCTTTTCCTCCCAACCACTCAAGGAAGACGTCCGGGCTATCGGTGAGGCAGCTGTGGTGTAGTGATTTGGCGGTAAACGAGAATCGAGCTGACGACCAAGCTTCAGTGGTGACCCGAGTCGTCGGGACATGTTCAGCAATGTTCGGCGGATGCTGATTGGCCATTCTGGACCGGTGCCGAAGACTCGTCGACACACCCAGGACTTCAAGTACGATCCGAACTTACAGCGAACTTTGACCCGAGATCCGCACTTAAGACGACCGTTCGAGCCCCGGCGACTGCTCCAAGTCTTCATCGTCCAATAGAGTCATCGAGAGGCCTCTTGGGGCGTCGAGGAGGCTCTGAAGGGTCGGTAGTTACTTGGGAAGATCCAAAACGGACGCGTTTTCACGGACCAGCCATTCCGTGTTGCGATCGTCGTTGTGTGTCCTCTCGGCGGCAGAGTTTGAGACAAAGGTGAAGGCCGACGAGTACGCCGAACTGTATAATGTCACAGTGAAGACGTCGCCCATGGTGAAGTCCGTGCCGTCGCAGCTTCAAGCAGTACTTGACGAGTTCGCAGATGTCTTTCCGTCAGAGTTGCCGCCTGGATTGCAACAAGTTGCCGTTGCAGCAGAGACTTGCGGCACGCTCTCACACGCAATATAAACCTCGCAGGCCCTCAGGAACCGCTCAATCGAGCACGAAGTTGTCTTGAAACCAGGTGCGACGCCCAGCAACCGCGCCCCCTTCCGTCTCTCGAAGGTTGAGCAGGAGGCATTGGACATCTTTGTGGCAGAGCTGCTGAAGAAGAACTGGATCGAAGTGTCGGACTCTCCATGGGTATCAAACATCTTTGGCGTGCCCAAAAAGGATCCCGCGACTGGCAAATTACCATCACGCTTGGAGTGGCGTTCTCATCGCCACTGTTCTAGTGGTTCTTGTCGCCAGCCTTCTCGTCACCAACGCATTCCTGGCCGCACTTCTTTCGGTTCCTCTACTCGCCTGAGCTCGAAGCAGCTCGGAATTGAATGTACTAGAAAATCTCACCTCCAACTCCGTGTCCAGGTCAGCGCAATGCAGAACGTGGTGGGTGGTAGGAACTGAGCAGTGCACACACTCTCCCGCTGGCAAGAAGTGCAGCGTGCGCTCCCACCCGTCGACGAAAACGACCTCAATCTTGACCAGTGTCGCGTTCAGCTTGGTGCGCTGTAAGACGCACCCGTACTCGGGCAGCCACGGATCGTACCAGACGTCGCCCCGTGCGTGTCTCCCTCCCGATGCTGACAGGCGTCGGGCCACTCGTTGCAGAATCTCAACCTCGTGCGCAGCAAAGTAGGAGGCCGGGACGACCCGGTCGTCTGCAAGGGGCTCGACACGGCCGCACTTGAGCTCAGCAACGCCCGTCACCTCCAAGTCGGTCACAAAAGCAGCACATGACTTGGCCAGAGCAACGCACAGCGCCGCGTCTTGGCGGGAGCTGGGGGCTTTGTGCTTGAAGCGAAAAACCACGTGCAGCAACTCGTCGTCGTTCATCTCTCTCTCCGACTGCGTCTCGACCGAGGAGTGCGCGATCCAAAGTAGAACGGAGTGTGCCAACCACTCGCTGCGCAGGTCTTGCAGCGTTGTTTTCTTTTCCAGTTGAGACGGCCCAAGACCAACGGCTGCATCGTGACGAACCGCCGTTAGGTCCTCGGAGATTTCTCGATCGCTCTCCGAGTTTCAACTGCTGCAGTCGCCGCCGTCAGCAGACGACGGTCAGGCGGCCGTTGGCGTTCACGCAGCGGTGCAGGGCCGCGTGGTGAGGGACAGGGAGCAGCCCACAAAACCAACGCCTGCATCAGATGCACGGGGGTGCAGCAGCAGCAGCCCAACGAAGACGGCGCAAGAAGAAGAATGATGGTCCAGAGCAAGTTGAAGTGATGGATCTAACCAATCAGAATGATCCTTTTGGCAGGAACGAGAAACCATTGGTCAAAACTTGCCCCACATGCCCCCCTTCGTTTATTTTTGATCGAAACGTGAAGATGGCACCAGGTGAGTGAGTGAGGGAGGGAGATCCATCCACCTATCCATCCATCCGCTGCCGCTATGAGGAGGGGTGTTAATCCTATCGTGTATCGCTGCGGTCTGCTGTGCTGCTGCTGCCACAGGAGGCCGCGTGCGCAAGGAGCTGGAGGAGTGCCAGAAGGACTCGCACCTATCGGGCGTCACGGCTGTACCCGTCAACGCCGCGTCGCTCTCGGAGCTGCGAGGTGCGGCCCAGCACCATCCTTACAGTATCACTCTCACTCTGCTCTGCTTACTGCTGTACTTATGCACTGCTGCCGCTTACGCAGGCACGATCCAGGGCCCGGAGGCGACGCCGTACGAGGGCGGCCACTTTGAGCTCGAGATCGTCATCCCTCCCAAGTACCAATACACACGATGCGATGTCGGGGACTTCAAGTCTCCAGATACTAACGAAGTATTATTACCTGCTATGCTATTGCTACTGCTGCTGCTACATGGGGGCAGATACCCGTTCGAGCCGCCGCAGATGCGCTTCATCACCAAGATCTGGCACCCCAACATCTCGTCGCAGACGGGGGCCATCTGCCTGGACATCCTCAAGGATGCGTGGTCGCCGGCGCTGACCATCAAGACGGCGCTGCTGTCCATCCAGGCGCTGCTCTCGGCGGCGGAGCCCACGGACCCGCAGGACGCAGAGGTGGCCAAGATGTACCTGCACGACCACGAGCAGTTCCTGAGCACGGCGCGCTTCTGGACCGAGAGCTACGCCAGGCAGACGGACACAGGCGACGATGCCGCGCTCTCCAGGCTCATTGACATGGCCTTCCCCGCGGTGCGGTCTATATGCCGATGCTCTTGTGCTGTGCTTGGTTGCAGCCAGCAGGATTCTCATTGTTATGTGGTGTTGTGCGCAGGACAAGGCGAAGGCTGCGCTGCTGGCAGCTAACGGCGACGAGAACGCTGCGATTGAGAAATTGGTCAGCAGCATGTAGCTCCGTTTTCTAGCCGACATCTGCCCTCGTGCGGAGGTGCGGCTCGCGGAATGTACAAATTACTAGCTTGCCTATGACGCGTTGTGTTGCACTGTGCTCTACTAATGTTTACGCGCAGGGACTTATTTTCTCTTGGGTTTGGATTTCACCTGCGTCGTGCGGATTGCCGTCTGGGTTAACACCTTTTGATGTGTCTGGAGGCGAGGGGCGAGAGAGAGAGCACTTTGTGAGCTCGATATGAAGCACTGTAAGCACCCTTCAATCACTTCGTGAGTGCACGCATTTCAATCACTGGCTTCACTTTCAGAGACCCCGAGCACAACTAAGCGCAATGCCTTCTCCAACTTCTCAATTCGCTATCTCGAGCACAAGTGGGCCGAGGAAAGCGACTAAAGGAAGGAAACAAGAAACGGAGAGGAAGAGCCAAATGGACGACGAACACCTGAACGCGGTATTTCGCTTCAAGCACAAGGCGCGTAGTGATCGTCAGGACGCGGCGTTGAGCTGGACTTTGATGGAGCGCTTCGATACTTTCGTGAACACTCTCGAGGCGACCGAGCTTGGCAACCTCAGCTGTGGTCGCTTGGACCCGCTCGCGGACGATCGAGTCGTCCCTGCTGCGGCCTTTAGCGTTCATGAGCTTGAAGTGCTGAAGGAAGAGGTCTGTCGATGTCTCGCAGCTTCACCGACGGAGAGCCATCGGCGGGGAGATGTGTGGTACGACCCGTGGCTGCCCATGTACGGCTGTGCCATCCAACGAACCAAGCTGAGTTCTACTCGGGTGAAGCTGGAGATTGGTTTTGTCGACGGATGGGAGCGCGCTCTGCACTTCTTGCCCACCGGAGAGTGCATCCACAGCTCCGTTCCTAAGACGCATCGCACTTTGCACGGTGAAGAGCTGGACACGCAGTTGGAGGAGAAATTCGCGAAAACGTTCGCGTTCGAGCTGCAGGAAGCGCTCGAAGTCGGGACGGAGCGCGGCAACAAATGAGTTGGGACACCAGAAGACGCCGCAGTTCATTGCTGCGGTGGTGCATCGCTCCGTTGCATTGGTCACCGGCCGAGGAGATGAGAGTTCTTTTGCTCCCAACGGTGGCACTACGGACGTGGGGCAGCACACAGGCGGCCGACCTCGTGACACTTGCTGGGCGCTTGTCAAGGCCGCGATCGAGAGGAACCTGTGCTGTGGGAGGGGGTTATTTCGCAAGACTTTGACGTTGTTCAAGCTGAGTTTGATCCAGTCCGAGATTGCCAGAGCTGAAGATGTCTTCTCTACGGACTCGATCGATCTCAAGCGTGGCTGCGACTTGGTGGACGACTTGTTCTTCATGCTGCAAGTCGTTGTTCAGCACGTCATCGAGCTGTTGGGAGACGGCTACGATGTCGCGTCACTTCAAGAGCAGTGCGCTGACTCGAGAGCTAGCATTGATGGGTTTGTGGGCGCCTTAAACCTCCAGACGGCTAAGCAGTATGTGCTGCCGGAGTTTACCGCCTTGCAGCAGCTCAACGGATTGAGCTGTGGTGTCGAGATTTTGTCGCCGAAACGTGATAACGAGTCAAGCAGCAGCGAAAGTATCGAGGACCGTCGACGCCGTGCACTGGTGAACCTGAAGCCATGCCAATTCGTTGGCGGAGCTTCCTGCAGTCTCGAGAATTTGCTCCTCTGGGTGAGATCCGACAACGCCGCTCCCCAGTCGTACAAGCGCATTTTGACGCTTCGCACAATCGAGGCGTTCCTGTTTGCGAGGTCGCCTGCATTGGTCGACGGCGGGAATGTTCAACAAGCAGAGGATGGCGACGAGCTCTTCGTAGCGAACATGCAGTCGCTCGTCACTCACTACCAGAAAATCGCAGATGAGTGGCGCCAATATCCCCAGCGGACGTCCGTTCTGAGCGCGGAGCAGCGCAGTCGCCAACTGTTGATGTGGATCGCGTTCTGCCTCGTTCACCAGAAATGTCTGCACGAATTCCCGCTGTGCTCCGAGTATAACATCGCTTTGGAATGGAAGGACCTGAAGGTCGCTGTCCTGAGCGATCGGGCAGCGGTGGAAGCTCTTCAGCGTGTGGCGCAGTACGTTCGTGGGTGGAATTTAAAGACTGGAGGGGCTCGGCTGTTCCATTTGACGGACCAAGAGCCTACCTTTTCCTTTGCGTGGAAGTTTGCCGAAGGTAATCCCAGCATGGAAGAGCGCTACAATCAGGAAGTCGAGGCGTGGAAGGCGCATGTGCAGAGTGAGTGGAGTGAAATCGAGGCGAAGAAGGAAAGGGCGGACAACCTCCGCGCCGATAAGACGCGTCTGAACGAGGACCTACGCTCGCACCACAACGATCTAGCGCTTGAAGAGGGTCGGCTTCTGTTGGCGTACCCAAGTTCGCTACCGACAGAGCCCTCTCAAGTCGCAACTGCAAGGTGACATCCAGAGGCTCACCACCTCGCTCCAGCAAACGGAGGCAACGCTACAACGGACCATTGCTATGCCTCATTACCTGGTCCGGCCGCTTCCACCAGCGAAGGAAGACGCGTGCAAGATTCTGTTTATGCTGACGATGCCACGCGATCTCAAGATTTTGGGCAACTTGTGTCTAACTGCCCAGCGATCCCTAGCACCACCCAGGCCGACCGCTGAGATAAAGGAGTTACCAAAGGTGAGCTCCACTACATGGCAACAATTCCACCGCCAGCGTGCACAGTCCCAAGCCTTTCCGGATGGTAAGGTGTTCACTGCGAGCCCAAGTGAATTCAACCTTCCAAGCTCCTATGGCCCCAGAACGGTTGACGCCGTGTCGAGCCTGAACCAATACGAGTCGGAATGTGTCTGGAATCCGACCTTGCGTGGCACTGCGTGGATATGGCGGGACGAATCTGGAGACGGTGTGAATCCCTTCGCTGCTACGCCGACGAGCGTGGTGAACAGCTTTATTGAAAAATTGTCTGAGCCTTACTCGTGGATGAATGCCTGGCCCGGTGGAAACGACACTCGAGGGAATCTGGTGTATGTGAACCTGCACCTACTGAGGTATTGTGAAGCTTTCGAAAAGTCCTCGTTCATCGCTTTTGGGTCTCTGCGAGCGTACCCAAACCAGCAGTATCGGAAGCTACTGATGGCGTTGCTTAACGACGTCTTTCTGTGGTCGAACGCTAGCGTCGGAACAATCGGTCGGCAGTCGCTTTACCAAGTCGGGGACCTCACAGATGAGCCCCAGCCGCAGATACTTGGGAAAACGGATATGCATCACGATTCGAGAGCGTTTTGCTCCGTATTCGAACAGGCTGCCAACAGGTTAAAGCATACCCCACGCAGTTTCGAGAGCGTACCTCTTCTCAGCGAGTTGGCGGGATATGCACTCCAGTTCTCCAACGATGCTCTACCCATCGTGAAGACTTTCGCGGGAATGGCAAGGCGCTGGGCGGCAGGTGCGCAAGAAGGCAACGAGAAGGAATCGGACTTGAATCGAATTGCTGAGGCTCGGCAAAAGGAGTGCGTGCTGTATGGCTACGCGCTCCTGGCGTACTCATTGGGGCCATGGGACGATGAAGCGGCTCGAGAGGTGTGCGAGTTGATTGTTTGTTTCCGCAAGTCTTTTTTCCTGTGCGCAAGCATCGACGAGGCGGCTACGACAGACATACTTCGAGTGGAAAGCAGAGTGACTGAGATGATGGCGCGTCGAATTGAGGAGTTGATTGCCTACGTGGAAAGGAGCGACGTAGATGAAGTTCTGACTGGTTTGGTTCGCCTCGTGAGCGAGACGTGTCCGTCAGGGCTGAAGGCTTTGAAACCCTCGACGCTCACTACGCTATCAACCTGTTCACGGGGATAGTTCTGACCGATGGGAATCCTCGTGGAGAGCTTCCTACCGATATTAGAGAGCACGTGCGCTTCTTAGAGCTGTTCGGACCGCGCAATTTTGAGGTGGTTTCAGCTGAAGGCGCGCTTCGAACTTCGCGCGCTTACTGTGGTCGGTTATATGACTTCGCCCTTCATGGTGGTATGGAGCTCTTCGTCCAGGAGCTTACAGCAGACCCCCAAGTGGCAGGAAAGATCTCGAGTACTCTGCAGTTGTGCTCGGCCAGCTGGATTGAAGCGTTAAGTGAGCGATTTCCAGCCAGACCGCGTGAACTGTATTCGCAATGGTACTGGGTTCAGCGGAAGTGCGTGCTTTTCAGACCCAAGCAGGCCCAGTGCCGTGATGTGTATTTTGTGGCTACATTCAATGATACTGGCGCGTTACAGTGCTACCAAGTGCCGTTGAGCGACACCACGCTCTCGTACGAATCCATTTTGGCCAACCTTGACGGCTACGATCGGTTCGTTATGAAAGAAGAATCCCTTCTCAGCGTATTGAAAGTGTTAGCAAAATTCGAGGATGAAGAGTTCCTGCACCCGCTCAAGTCGTCCAACGGTGTGCTGAAGGTCGAACTTCCAAGATTCAAGCTGAGCTTTTGTCTGAATGAGGAGATGGAGCTTGAGTCCGTGGAGCACAAGGGGTACAAGTTGGCCACAAGCCAGCAGTTCGATGACTTCCTACCCCGATTCAGTCGGTATCTGGTGCTGGAGCTGCAAGACAAATCCGACACGTCACGACCGGAGGTGCGCATGCTGCTACCAGTTGGACCAGTGGTTGAAACTCCTCAAGGCCTCGTTGATATCAGTGTTCCCAGTGAAGCAGACAGCCTTGTGGGTGTGGTTTGCTACGACGTTCACCGCCGCCTGAGGACGTTTGAAACCGAGACGATTGGCGCGAGACTGCAGTTGGCCGCGGTTTGTGTTCGAGCTGGGACGAATGTACCGAGCAAGCGGCTGCAGATGACGGGAGCTGAGGCAGCGCTGCAAATGCTACGAGGCTGTCGCTCCAGCCAGCCATTTTCAGCCTTTGAGAGGGAAACTTTGGAAACTATTAGCAAGCTGAGTTACCGGGAGCCTGCGGTGAAGATGTTGGCTGAAGCGTTGGTGGCAAGTGCTAACAATTTATCATTTCTCTTTGATGCTGGAGATGAGGCAGAGACCAAAAGCAGTCCTCACGAGAAATCAGAATACGCGGACATGTGTGTATCCCCACTTCAACGCAATCCGCTGCGCACCCAGCTACGAAGCGCAGAGGAGGACATTCTTGGACCCAATGGTAGTTAAAGAATCCATCTGGGTAGCACTCGTTTCCTGTACGGCCGTGTAAGAAAGCAACAGCCCGACCCGCAACACCGTAGAACGCAGGAGAACCCGTCCAGCCAAAACAAGCAGACAAGTCAATCACCAGGGCGTTGTCTTCGGGAATTGTTCCTGCGAACAGCCGGGTGCATGAGCTATGTATTCCCAGATTCCGAAACGCGGAGGCAACATCACCCAGCAATAACTTAATGTCTGCGGATGGGAACTTCTCGGCCTGGTGTAGAATCTCTCGTGCAATGCGTTCAACGGGTTCGTATTCTGTGTTTGGAATTGATGTCGTATCGGTGGTCGAGTTGACCGATTCTCCGTCGGGGTGTGATAGATTGTGGATAACCCTGCCGGAGGTAGATGGGTCGCCTTCACCTTTATCCACTACGCCAAAAGGCGAGAGAAAGATGTCGATCCATAACTTTAGAATATCCAGGTCCAGAACAATGCATCGCCCCAAATCTTGCTCTTTGCGAATATTTTTCCGCAGCACGTTAAGTCGCCGTCAAGCGGATGGGTGGTTCTGAGGCGGGTGTGCCTGGCGGGGTAGCGGTTTGGTGAGGCGTACCTGGATACCGTTATTCGCGATATTCAATAGCTGAGGGATATCCTTGAATTCCGAGCAGTTTGCCGTGAGTTGACCCGGAATTATGGCCTTGTTAGGTCGGTAGTCATCGCTCGTCTGGCCGCGTAACAGCTCCACGAATCGAGGGAGGGAAATACCAGTCTTACGAACGAACTCCGACATCGCTTGTTGAAGGGGGCGATTGAGCTGGTAAGTGGGGGAATCGTCAGGGCCGGTGGCGATAGGGTACGGGTCCGTCGGAAAGTTAAGCCCAGGCGGCGGTGAGGGTCTTAGTACGAGTGTCCGAGCACAGACGCTGATGTCTGCGGCCAGCATCATGGAAAGCGGCAGACTCCGCCGGAGTTGGCGCGCGCCGTCGAGTTGGATCCCGGTGGAAATCTCCACCTGGAGGACGCGCAGATTTTGAAGGCATCGAGTGACCAGTAGTTGTTGTTGCGGTCGGTACCCGCGCCGAAGGCAGACCTTCTGAGGCGTAGCCGTCAGAGAGGCCACGGTTGGATAGCGTGGGCTGATCCAGAGCAAGACGCTAGCGCCGATTGTGCTAGGTGGTTGCCGCTGACTGAAGCGTAGCTGTCAGTAAGGGCTGTACGTGCATGTGGTAATGATGGCTCGAAGCTAGGAGAGTCAACGGGTTGCACGCGTTTATTTGCGTTACTACTCTCAAGGTTGAAAGACCGAAGCGCGTTTGAGCCAATGGCGCCTCGGCAGCTTCAGCCGCGCTGGGGTCCGTAATGGGACCGTTTGTTGCCACCATATAAGCGATTAATGCAGGATTGGACTTCGCGGGGCAGAGGCGAGTCCCAGACGTGAGTGCGCTTCGAGTACGCGCACCGATCGACCGTGCCCCCGTGACACATCGATCCCCCAAAGAAACGTAAGCATGGTTCCGTTCCATCAGGACGGCGTGGGACTTGCCTGCGGATGTGCTCTGGAATCGGGTTGTAGGAGTTTGCTTAGGATCTGCGGTTGCCATCGGATGGGGCGTGGGCGCTGGAGGCCGTGGCCGATCGAGTATGAGCCGTAGCGGCAGCGGGCAGGCATGCAACCTGGCTGGCCTGGATGTTTTCGAGAGCCAAGATCCAGCTGAGTGACTCCGAGCTAATCTTGTGAACTTCACCCCAATAATCACGCCACCACAGTTGTCTGACACAAAGTGAATCAATCGCGAAATCAGCACATTCAGGTAGTCGAACCACAACTTGTTGCCGAAGCTCTTCAAACCGTATAGTGCTGATAGAATGTCGTCATATGACGTGCACTCGGGTGGGGTAGGAGGGGGTGTCGTCTTGTTACTAAAATCCATCGTAAAACCAGAGTCATCAGACGTGTGTGCCAGGAGATCGTTTTCCAACAGCGGCATAAATGCATGAGAGATAATCCACGAGAGCCAAGGCGAGCACTGCATAGAGCCATGAGAAGCGGCGGCGAGTCCTTGAAGAGCTTGCTAGCCAGTCCCCGGATCGACAAGATAAACTCCATTTGTGTCAACGACCTACCTAGTGCGCTAGTCAAAGCTGGGAACATCCTGCGCGAAATCAGCACATGAGACTGGGGGGGAACGTAGTCGCCTTTGGCGGAACGGCGTTGGTCTGGAAGGTTATCCAGTCGAAGCTCACGCAATTCGGGAGGCGGCAGTGGTGACGGGCCATGCGAGGATGGCAGTGTCCAACCGCCACTGGTGTATCCTGCAGTAGGAGCGATGAGCGGCGGTGGGGCTTGAGCGGACAAGCGGCCTTGCAAGTCAACTACCATAGATTGCAGCTGGAGAACCTGGGCTGAGAGTGCCTCCACAGTATTACCAGCAACTACCGGGCGCGCAGGCCCGCCAGTGTATCCATAGTGTGCCGTACTCGAAGTTCCACCAGGTTGGGCAGACGATTGGGCCGTCTGGGGGAGCTGACGTCGGGCCAAAAACTCTTCCAGGTCGAAATCCACGCGATCGTCATGTTCGCCCCACGTTCCAGGTGGAATCCGGTGCCCGTGGGCCGAAGAAAGTTCAGCAAGCCTACTCACAGAGGCGCTGGTCGCAGTAGACCCGCCGCGAGAGGGCATAGCAGAATTCGTTGGAGAGGGCTGTGTTGTCGTTAAATCTACCACCGCTTACTGGTTGCTCGCACAGTTTGACGCACGCCCGCCTACGACTTCGCTCACCGACACTAGATTCGTACTGCCCTCCGTAGCCCGAGGCTGGGTGGACACAGACGGTGAGGTATCTGCAGGATAGTTCTCCTGATCACCTTCGGTCGTTGATGGTGGATCCGCCGCCAGCGTGACCGCCGAATGGACAGCGCTGCGGTTTGATGGTCGGCCGTCTTCCGAGCTTTGCGCTTGCCTGGGGCCTGGCATCTCGGTGCCGGTTCTTGCCCCTTTGCGTTCGCTCCTGGAGACGACTGGGAAGCGACGACGAGGTCCGCTGGATCACCCGTGGGGCCGACCTCCACCGACGATCCTTCGTTCGGTGCCGTGCGACTAGCTGGGGGAACTGGGGCGTCGCTCGCTTTGCGCTTCTGGAGACGTTTGCTGGCTCGCGTGTACGGCGCACCACACGGCCGGTTGACGGCAGACTACGCTGCCCTTGAGACGGCGAAGGCCCCGCCGCGGCTGCCGCAGAGTCGCTAGAGGAGGTCCCAGGGGCGGATTCGCCTACGGAGCTAGCAGGGGCACCAGCTGTGTCGGCGCTGGCTGCGAGAGCGCGAGGGCGAGCAGGCGACGACTTGGACGCGCGGCGTGCCATAGCGGTTGGAGAAGAGGTGGTCGGTTTTTAGCACTCTTTGTCGGACTTGGAGAGAAGAGAACTGCCGAGCCTGAGGGGTCGTTCTTGTCGGGGGGGGGGGGGGGGGGGGGGGGTCAGGCTGTTGGTTGCTCGCGCCTCGGAAACCACTATTCTCGTCTTTGCCGCGAATGTACCATCACCCCGGAACAGTTTGCTAGCTGAATATGGGCCGCGGAAAGACTCGCGTGATTCTGCCCATGCTGTTCCTGCATTTCACGCGAAGTCGAGATTCGCGCGTTGTGCGCGCGCACTTCTTAGGGCCTCTGTTGAGTGAGGCTCGGGCGCACATACACCGCTACTTATCGGCGTCGACCGCGTGCCTCCCCATGTTCGAGCAGCCATTCAACCGGAAAATCTGCGTCGATGTTCGTAAGCTCGAGCTGATCCGGGATGCAATTCAAGAGCTCAAGACCCACGGTGGCGTTCTGATTATCTCGCTGACAAAATTATCAGAAACACCTTGGAAAAACTGACAGTTTATGACAGCGTCGCTGCGCTGTCGTTAGGGGGCGCCTTTTCCGGTTCATTCACGTTCAACACGCTGCACTATCTAGCTCATGGACAAGTTGCTACGAAATGGAAAGCGCGTCGCTGGCCCGCCTGCCCCCGTTCAAGCTCCTAGGAAGGTCGGTCGGCCCAAGACGAACGCCCCTCGAACTTGCCGCTACTGTCCGCCGACAAATGGCAACATGCATCCCAGCACGCGGTCAGTGACATCGGGCACTGGTTGGAACGCACCACTGATGAGAGTTCTTCGGAGCTCGTGGCCGTCACACTTTAGGGGTGCCGGGATCGCCACTATGGCGCCTAGCTACAGGACGAGCGGAATGAGACGATCGTCGACAAGGTCGTAGGATGTCATTAGCCAAAGAAGTTAACAGGCAACAATGTACCTCAATGCGAAACGAAACGAACTTGCCGCTACTGCAAGAGGACGTTAAAGACGCCGCAAGGGCTACCCAACCATTCATTTGGCTCACAAGAACCGCTGCGATAAACGGTCGGTCGCGGCTCGTGCTGAGGCACGTAAAATCGATCGCCGCCTAGCCAGCAAAGCGTACTACATCCGCAAAAGGGATGCGATCTCGCTCAGCGAGTGGCGCGAACGTATGCCACTAAGTCGTCTGCAAACTGCGCGCCGTGCTGCCTGGTTTGAAGCCAACCGCTAACTAGGTTAAGGATGATCTACTGAGAAGATTAAGTTCTTCTTATACACGCACGTGAGCCGGACTTACTAGTTCTCGTTATTAGCTTTCGTCTGCTTTCTCTACGGCTTCTCTACTGCTCGTCTATCTTCCTCTGTCCCTCTTGGTCTTGTTATCCTCTATCCTGGTGTCCATTGCATCACGAACTTGTAGCCATGCTATCGCTTTAAGGTAATATTCAAAACATTATTGTTGATAAAATTATTAACTTGACGGTATTGCGGTATTTACTAATCGTTTTGGGATAGAATATGATCGTTTCTGGCATATTATTATCAAAACCTGACCATATATCATCGATTTCGGGTGGATTATCATCGCTTCCTGATAAAATATTGTACTTCATCAAGAAAATTTACCAGAGCGAAATTTTGAAGTGAACCAAGTTTTATTAAGGAAACTCGCGCAGTCATAAACTAATGAGACTAACTCAGACACCAAAGGGAGGCATAATCTCACAGACTACAACAGTGTAATTGTAATCCAAACGTGATTCCTGCGCCAATACCAGCTTTTCCGCGGGGTCCTCTCTCGACATCTTCGTTCATTTTGCGCCACAATGTCTACTTTGTAAGGGATCATTATCCGTACTGACCGTAAATACATGAAACATTTCCAAACTGACCGCAATAGCAACACATGGCCAACACTCATTGAAGTTGATCGGGGCTCCGCAACTGGGACGGGGCGCAAAGACTTCTGATCTAGGCAGTTAGATGGTTGAGGTCACTCGCTTTTTTGCGTTGCCGCCGCATCGAACCCAGTAAGTTGTTCATGCCAGGACGTCCTATCATTGCCTATCATGTTGAGGCCCGGCAGCATGTCGTCTAGCGTCTTAATGCTGGTGGGTATGGCTAGTCTCCTGGGATGCTGACCGTCGCGACGTCCGTGGTAAGTGCTTCGCTGAGCTAGATGCTTCAATCTTGAGACTCTATCTTCCTTATCTTACACAACTATTCGTTTGGTTTAGACGTTTCTCGTGGACCGCCTCCAGCTGAGATAATATGGCTGCATATCGTGCTCGACTCCAGCTGCCGGCGCTGAAGGACTCGATACCGCGGTACACCTCAAGGCGATGCACCCGCTGCTGAGCTGAAGACAGTACGAGCTCAGGATATTTCTGCGAGTATGGTTGAGGTGTCTGACCTGTTTACTGTATCGATTTATGGTGTACGTATAGGTGTTGCTTGCGAGCAGGAGCATGCAACCTGATTCAGCACGCGTGCTGTTACTGGAGGTACGGTATTAAATTGTTTGATAACACATCAGCAGTGGTGATCGGAAATGTCTACTAAATAGTTTTTTTTGTGCATGTGTCTTGTAGACCTCGCGAATTTACTGAGGCTGCTGTGCGGGGCCGACTCAGACTCATGACCCGATTTGTCCTTGTTTGATCCGCATGTGGGGGGGGTGAGCGGTGTGGTAATAATACCCAGTGCCCCCAAACCCGGAGAGAGGGTCGAGGAAGGACATGATGGTGCCCCTGCAAGAAAATATTTCAATGCAAGGTATTGATGATATTGTAAATGTTGATTAGCTCTTTCTAATTCAACTTCGCATTGTATGCACTTCATGTATAGGTGATGCATTCGCCCTCATTTCCGACTACCGTCTTGACTAGAAGCTGATCTCGTTGACAATATCTGGAATTTCTGCTTCACTTGAGACGTAGCCGTTCCGCATTTCGAGTATCCCCAGAGGACAAGTTCCTACGAGGTAGTTTCCTGGCTGGACATCATACGATCTGAGAAATGATGGGAGCTTGTCGTAAGTGTCATCGGTGACTGCAGCTGACTTCCTCTTTGCAAGAGCGATGGCTTTGTACAACATTGCAGATCGATGGTCGACGTTTACGTTGTCTACGAGTTTTACGGACTCGGCCACCCGCTTGCGTGAGGTGCTCAGCCCTGGAACCATTGCCGACTGAAATCCGGGCATCTCCATCAACACCTTCGTCGAGCACTTGCCAATAGAGTCGCAACCAGGAGAGTGTTCAAGAAACAAGTCACTGACAAACCATGCCTTCTCCGGGCAAAAGTTATTTTTTGTGTTTTGGTGCTTTGATTCAGCTTTCGATTCAGACTATTTGTCAGTGTAACATGCCAGTCACAAGCAGACTCTGATGTGCATTCCCAAACCTTGTGGCCTGACGATACCGGCTGATGAATCGACGTTCTGATAGAATGCGTAGGCTTTCAAGAAATCCTTGGCGTCCTTCGCAGTGGAAAATATATCGTGCTGCTCAATTGTCTGCCTCCCGTACTTGGCCAGCAGGATTGCTTGGCCCCGTTCCATGACTGCCTGGAAGTGAGAATAGCAAAATGCCTGGGCGGTTGCATTCAACAAACTTGAGTTTTAATTAGAATATGTTTGTACAGCTTAGAATCGAGCTAAGCTCTGCAACTTGAGCTTTAATTAGAATATGTTTGTACGGCTTATATAATCGAGCTAAGCTCTGCAACTTCAATGAGTGTTGGCCATGTGTTGTTATTGCGGTCAGTTTGGAAATGTTTGATGTATTTACGGTCAGTACGGATAATGATCCCTTTGTAAGTGAAGCGAGTGCGAGCGCTAAGAGTGCATGCGTCTAATAATACCTGCTCAGGCCTGATGCATCCGTGTGCAAATGATAGACTTTTATTAGGTGCTTCTAATAATTTTGTCAGCGAGTGCCAGCATTTGTCGAAGGTAATCATAATTTGACTAGATTATTGCAATAGTGCCAGCATTTGGCAAAAGTCTACTGGGAGTCATGACCAGCAAGAAAGAAACTTCACGAGTGGCCAAGTTACTCAAGACGCCTCTCATGGCGTGTACCATACACGCGTCACGCTTCGGCGCGTTTGACGGCACCCGCCTGAATATCGTGCCGGCACGGACGGAAGGCTTGCGAGAACAACTGAAAGAGGCGCTGGTCCGGGATCTGATCGACGACGCTCCTTTCGAGTTCATGTGGTTGGGCACTTTTGGAGCTGCAAACGCTGGCGAATCGCTTGTCAAGGCCATCATTGACCCAAGCGTGAGTCTGGAGGAGGCGCTTGGGGGTCACAGACAGAGGTTTACTCCCTACTTATCCCAACTATTGGCGCTGCGAGGACTGATTGCGTTCGGGGTGCTGGAACATTGTATGGAGAAACGGTACCGCGTGGAGTTTGGGCTTCCTGTTCCTGGCTCATGGCCCACGAAAATCGCGATCCCCTACCGCGCGGCGGATATTCCTTCAAAGTATCCTTCTTTATGCCGTGGATAGGGGCGCCCAAGCTTTGATCGATACTGGAGCGCTGCTGGCTGGCGTGGCAAACCATGACGCGGCTGAATTCCTCCTCTTACAACCAGATTTTGAGTTTCAGGGCGTGACGTACTACGACAGTCGCGAGGCGTTCAACTGCTGGGTGGTTGTGGAGAAGCATCGACGCCTTGTGACGCCGCTGAAGAGCGCGTCGATGCACGAGAAGGAGACGTTCGTGATCTTCGACGAGGCGCGATCGCGAGGATCCGACATGAAATTGCCTCACGAAGCCTCGGCCTTGCTGACTCTGGGCCCGAAGCTCACGAAGGACAAACTGATGCAAGGTGCGGGTCGGATGCGGCAGCTCGGATGCAGCCAAACGCTGTGGATCGCGAGCTTCGATGAGGTAGCGCAGAGTGTTCTGCAAAGTAGCGACAAGAGTGAAGTCTCGGGCTTGACTGCTGTCGACGTGCTGAACTGGGTCGTGGACAACACGAAAGCGGAGTCTGTACGTGGATTACTGGAGTGGGCCGGCAACGGCATTCACTTCCGCAAGACGCAGCTGGACCCAACCACTGAGTTGATTGATGAGAATTGGTCGCTGGAATTCTTGTACGAAGGAAACCTCAAGCCCGTCAAGCTTTCGCACGCCATTGAGACCAAGGTCCGGGGGCTGGACGATGCGCTGATTGCTCGAATCTGTGAACGAGGCGCCAAATACGGACTGGACGACGAAGTGTACGTGAGCTTGCACACGGACGAGTGCGAGCGCGAGCTGCAGGTGGAAGAGGAAGTGCAACACCAGCGGGAGCTCGAACTGGCGCAATACATCCCCGCATCGGAGAAGACGTGGAACTATAGTGCCACCTTGCAGGCGAAGTCTGTGAAGGAGCTGGCTGGAGTCGTGGAGGTCGTCGACATGGAGAGCTTCATTCGCAAGTGGGTTCGGCCTGAGGCAGTCGCTGACTTGGCTTGGTCCCGCGCTCGCATCTTCGGCACTGAAAACTTTTTCTCGACCATTCTGGCGCGTGAAGGCAAGGATCAGCTGAGTGACTTCCTGGGCGTGGTCGATGTGATGGTGGTGCTTGGTAACGGCGAGGTTCTGCTGGTGTCCGGGTGCGAGGCGGACCACATCCTGCAGCTGCTGTGGTCAAGCCGCAGAGATTTGGCCAAGATCAGCGTTCGCTTTGTCAACCTCGCCTTCGCTTACAAGAGTATCCGAAGTGTTGATGCTACAGCCAAGTTTGGTGATGGAATCGATCTAGAGCTCGGGTCCGGCGCTGGTGCTGGTAGTCTGACGTTGCTGGCGACAGTTGCGAGCCACGTCTACAACGGCGAGACAATGGTTGGTGAGCGCCAACAAGGAGAACTGAAGCCTGTCTTCCGCGAGTTCCTCGGTCTCTTAAACCAGCGAGAGGGACGTTGAGCAACTTTGTCAAGTCGCGCGGCAACACGCACAAGTGGACGCACTCGTTCCTGCAGGAGCTCTGCGCCCGCATGGACCTGGACGACTGCATCTAAGGTAGGGAGCGAGGGGTTAGTCGGGCGTGAGCGCATTTTATTAGACACGAAACAAGTTCTCTTATAATTCGAAGCAATCTATCGACAAAGGAATGCTCAATATCCAAATTCATACAACGTGAAGTCTTCGTGGCACGTTGGTTCTCACCACAGTGCCCGCACACTTTCATACAACAGCAGCGCGTAACAGGCCAAGACAGTCCAAGATGAAGGGACCGTGGATGGTCATCTTCGGGTGGAGAAACGACGTGGAGTTCGTAAGCTTGGATCCTGATCCATCAATACGAACGTTGAGATGATTCTCAGAAACTCACCAGTAAAGCGACCGACACATTTTGGGTTATGGTCATATTCGCTTTTCCTCCTTCTTGTGATCGCCATGAACCGAAGTTGGCAACCTGGGAGCCACATCGACGTCTTTCCGTGTCTGGGGCCTACGCGTAAGCGGCCCAAAACCGATCAAAACGAGCTTCTCAACGTGATATTTCGCTTCAAGCACAAGACCCCGAGTGATCGCCAAGACGCAGCTCTGTGCGTGACTTTGGTGGGCAAATTCACAGCGTTTGTGGCTAGCTTAACCCCGGAGTCGGAGTCAAACCTCGGCTGCGGTCGAGTCAACCCGCTCGCAGACGATCGCATAGTTCCGGTCTCGGTCTTCAGCGAGCACGAGGTTGATCAACTCCACGAGGTTCGTCGGCGTCTGGAAGCTGCAGCCGACGATGTCCACAAACGCGGAGACGTTTGGTACGATCCGTGGCTGCCGGCGTACGGCTGCGCGCTGCAGAAGACAAAGGTGAACGCGGCGGTGGTGAAGCTCGAGGTGCTTTTCGTCGACGGGTGGGAGCGCACGCTGCACTTCCTGCCGACGGGCGAGTGTGTTCATAGCGCCGTCCCCAAGGCGTATCACGTGCTGCACTGCGCCGACTTGGACTCGGCGCTGGAGGAGAACTTCAACAAAAAGTTCGACTCGAAGCTGTGGAAAGCGCAACAGGGCAAAGGCTCGAAGCGGAGCGCAGCGATTAACGACTTGGGGCATCAGAAGACGCCGCAGTTCATTGCAGCCGTGGTGCGTCGTGCGGTTGCTGCAGTCACTTCGGCCAAGGAAGAGAACGACGACAACGGGTTTGAACGTGACAAGCGGTTTTCTCCCCACGGCGGAACGACGGATGTTGGGCAGCACACTGGGGGACGACCTCGTGACACCTGCTGGCCGCTAGTACACGCGGCGATATCGCGCAACCTCTGCTGTGGTCCAGGCTTGTTCCGGAAGACGATGGCAATGTTTCACTTGGGTTTGCTCAAGAAGACGATGACCCAGACTCAAGGAGCCTTTCGACGAGGGATCGACGTGAAAAGCGGGTGCGACTCAGTGGACGACTTGTTTTCCACGCTGGAAGTCGTTGTTCAGAGCCTCGTGGAGCTTCTGGACGGCGGGTACGACGTCTCCGGTCTGCAAGACGAATGCGCTGCGCTCCGGGCCAACATTGACGAATTAATCGGTCAGTTGAACCGACAGAGTACATCGCAGTACCATCTACCAGACTCCACAGCGTTGCAACAACTCAACACACTGAGTTCCGAAGTGCTGATTGAATCCCCTAAGCGAGGCAAGGGTTTGAACGGCGATGAAGATGCAGAAGAGCGCCGCCGCCGTGCGTTGGGAAATCTGAACGGGTGCTGGTTCATTGACGGAGCGATGTGCAGTCTCCGAGATCTGCTCGGGTGGGAGAAAACCACCGGCGCATCGAACGCGAATAAGTGCGTCTTGGTGCTGCGGACGGTGGAGACGTTCATGTTCACGAGATCTCATGAACTGGTGGATGACGATCAAGTTGCCGACAACGACGAAGGACAATTCGTCGAGCAGATGCAGTCACTCGTTACCGCCTACCAAAATGCCGCGGCTACGTGGCGTCAGCTCCCTCGAGATAAGTCCGTCTTGGACGTGGAGCAGCGCAGTCGTGAACTGCTCGTGCTGTGGATTGCGTTCTGTCTCGTTCACAAAAGTTGTGTTGTCGACGTGCCGCTGTGTGCCGAATACAACATTGCGCTGGACTGGAAGGACCTCAAGGTGGCGGTTCTGAGCGAGCGAGCTGCCATCTCCGCGCTACAAAACGTTGCCGAGTACAGTCGCGGGTGGAATGACCGCACCAAGGGGCTCCAGCTCTTTCACATGATGAACCAAGGCCCCACGTTTGGGTTCGCGCGAAGGTTTGGACTGGACAGCAGCGCGATGGTCGCTGCCTACAACCGCGAGGTTGAGAACTGGGAAGTCCACGTTCAAAAGGGGTGGGGCAAAGTCGAGCGGAAGAAGAGGGACGCGGCCGAGATCCGTGCAACGATTGCTCGTCTGCAAGAGGAGCTCGTGTCCAAAAACCGCGAGCTCGCGGACGAAAACAACCGCGTGGATCCCCCCGGTCAATTCAGCAACAAAGCTCGAGAAAGTGGGGCGGCCCAAATTCGGCTTCAGGCGGACATCAAGAAGATGAAGGCCGAGGTCAAGAAGAAGATGCAGTCGCTGAAGAGGACGCTCGAGGCTCCTCAGCTACTAACCCGGCCGCTTCCTGCAGCGAAAGACGACGCCATCCAAGTCATTTTCATGCTGACAATGCCCCGGAAGCTGGAGATTTTGGGCAACCTGTGTCTTACCGCACAGCGAGCGCTTGGCCCAGCGGAGGCTACGACCACAATGAAAGCACTGCCCCAGTTGATCCCCACAACCTGGCAGCAGTTTTACTATGGGTATGCACCGATTCGAGCGATTTCTGTGACGACAACGCTGTTCACAACGATTCCAGGCAGCTTCTACCTTCCTGGATACGACGGGCCAAGGACTGTAGACAGCTTGGAGACCATATCGCAGTACAAAGCTCAATGCGTCGTGAACCCGATACTACGCGGTACGTCGTTAACGTGGAAGGACTCAAGGAGAGAGGTCCTCAACCCGTTCAACGTCGCTCCGACAAGCGCGATCAACAGCTTCATCGAGAGACTCCCGGAGCCATTCCCACACTTCCAGTGGATGAACGCGTGGCCTGGCGGAGACGATACGAGAGGGAATATCGTCTACGCGAAAGCTCGCCAGCAGCCGGAAGTCTTTGAGAAGGCGGCGTTCCTAGCGCTGGGATCTCTGCGCGCGTTTCCGAACCAACAGTTCCGCAAATTCCAATGGGCTCTGCTTGACGACGTCTTGCCGTGGTCGCACACGTGTGTGGGGACGATCGTGCGGCAAGCGCTCTACCAAGTTGGCGACCTCACAGACGAAGCCGAGCCGAGACTGCTCTGGAAGACGGACATGCTGCGAGGTGACGAGGGTTTGAAGACATTTTGCGCCACGCTGGAGACGATCGCAGTTAAATTAGAGCAAACCCCTCGTTCTTTTGAGAATGTCCCGCTGCTGAGTGAGTTGGCGGGGTATGCGCATCAGTTTACGACGGGGGCGAATCATGTTGTGAAGTTATTTGCAAGAACGGCGAGGCGGTGGGCTGAAGATTTGCGTTTGAAAGACGAGGGCGAGTGCTCACGAGACCGAGTCACCGCAGTGCGTCAGAAGGAGTGCATTCTGTATGGATACGCTCTGCTGGCGTTCAAGCTTGGCCCGCTGGATGATGAGGCAGTTCAGGAAGTCTGCGAGTTGGTTGTGCTGTTTCACACTTCCTTCTTGTGTGCAAACATCAGCACCCCCTCTACGGAAGAAATGGTTCGCATTGAGAGCAAGGTTACCGAGATGATGACTCGCCGGATGGCGGAGATCATCGCGTACGTGGAGAGACGAGGTACAGATGCTGTGCTCACAGCTTTGCTGAATTTGGTGAGTGCGACGTCGCCCAGTCAGCTGGAGTGGAAGCGAGTTGATCAGTTTTCAGAGAATGGCTGCCAGTTTGGAAGTTGTTTTGAAACTTCAGACTCCCGCTACGCGATTAATTTGTTCTCGGGCATCGTTCTGACGGATGGCAACGCTCCTGGCGGACTTCCATCCAACATTCGAGAGCACGAGCGCTTCCAGAGCCTATTCGGGCAATGCAACTTCGAGGTGATAACTGTTGGCGGTACCTTCCAGACTGAAAGTAAGCACTGCGAGCGGTTGTACGAGTTTGAGCTGCAGGACGATGACGAGTTACTCGTCCAGGAGATCGATGTGGACTCGGCGCGCGATGTCATCAGTACCCTGCAGTTGTGCTCTGCCAGCTGGATCGCAGCGTTTAGTAAGCTGTTTCCAGCTAGACTTCGTGAATTGTATTCGCATTGGTACTGGGTCGAGCGGAAGTGCGTGCTTTTCAGACCCAAGCAGGCCCAGTGCCGTAATGTGTATTTTGTGGCTACATTCAATGATACTGGCGCGTTACAGTGCTACCAAGTGCCGTTGAGCGACACCACGCTCTCGTACGAATCCATTTTGGCCAACCTTGACGGCTACGATCGGTTCGTTATGAAAGAAGAATCCCTTCTCAGCGTATTGAAAGTGTTAGCAAAATTCGAGGATGAAGAGTTCCTGCACCCGCTCAAGTCGTCCAACGGTGTGCTGAAGGTCGAACTTCCAAGATTCAAGCTGAGCTTTTGTCTGAATGAGGAGATGGAGCTTGAGTCCGTGGAGCACAAGGGGTACAAGTTGGCCACAAGCCAGCAGTTCGATGACTTCCTACCCCGATTCAGTCGGTATCTGGTGCTGGAGCTGCAAGACAAATCCGACACGTCACGACCGGAGGTGCGCATGCTGCTACCAGTTGGACCAGTGGTTGAAACTCCTCAAGGCCTCGTTGATATCAGTGTTCCCAGTGAAGCAGACAGCCTTGTGGGTGTGGTTTGCTACGACGTTCACCGCCGCCTGAGGACGTTTGAAACCGAGACGATTGGCGCGAGACTGCAGTTGGCCGCGGTTTGTGTTCGAGCTGGGACGAATGTACCGAGCAAGCGGCTGCAGATGACGGGAGCAGAGGCAGCGCTGCAAATGCTACGAGGCTGTCGCTCCAGCCAGCCATATTCCGTGTTCGAGAGGGAAACTTTGGAGACCATTTGCAAACTCAGTTACCGCGAGCCAGCGGTGAAGATTCTAGCAGTAGCCTTGCTTTCAGAGGCCTATCGACTAGTGTTTCTCTTTGGGCGGACGCAAACGAGCGACTTATCCATGAACTGTGTCGATGAACAAACCGACTACAGCGATATGTGTGCTGGACGCGTCGCGCGGAATCTGTTGCGCGCGAAGTTCCGAAGTGATGAGGAGAAGCAGATTCTCGGATACGCGCAGTATGTGCCAGTGACCGTCCTCGACCAGGAGCGTGTGTCACTGGACCCGATCCCTGTGATCGATGACTACGCGGGAACTATCGAAGCGGAGCTTGGTTGTCTTGTCCGACAAACTCCTGCAACAAGAGAAGCACCGCCCCTGCCCCTGCGCAACCACAATACCGACGCTATGGGCAAAGGGATGCTGGACGAACTCGAACTAAGCTGGAATAGCTACCACGCCCAGCCCCAACTGCAGCTCCAGGTCTCCCCAGATGCGCTTCTCGGTTCATTGACGACGTTGCTGGCTGATGTTTCGTCTCGCCGATCTGAGATGGAGAATTATCTGTGGGGTGCGTTTGCTAAGGCTACGAGTGGCAAACGCGATCGCCTTCTGGCTCTAGTCAACTATTTGCCTTTGCTGACTGTAAGCGACATCATTCGGTGCGCTTTCGACGATGAAGCTCTGTACGCGGTGACTTTAAGGCTGCATGAACAAGCGAGGGAGGAATTCAAGAAGGGGGTTCTCCTCTATATGGAAATTTGCGTGCTGGAAGACAAACTGGAGCGACTGATCTGGAAGGCGCGAGGTAGTGGAGAGCTGTCAAACACTCAACTGATAGACGAGCTCGTCAATGTGCGTGAGTGGCAGTCGACGGAGTTCCCGTACTGGCTCGCGTTCGAGGTGGAAGGGAGGCTCCAGATCCGTCATGAACAGTATATCACCGCACAGCACCTGATCAACCGGCCGGGGACGGTGTGTCAGCTGAATATGGGTCGAGGCAAGACCCGCGTGATCCTGCCCATGCTGTTCCTGCACCTCACGCGAAGCCGTTGCCCGCGCGTGGTGCGCGCCCACTTCTTGGGCCCATTACTGAGTGAAGCTCGCCACTTTATGCATCGCTTCTTGTCGGCCTCGAGCGCTCAGATGTGTATCTCGGAGCAGCCTTTCCACCGCCAAATGGACTTGGACGAGCGTAGCCTCGAGCTCATGCGAGATTCCCTGCAGGAGCTGCGATTGTTTGGGGGCATTCAAGTGGTGTCGCCCGCTCATCGCATGTCCCTGGAGCTGAAGCGTCTGGAAGTGGGCAACGACGAATCTCTCGCGAAAGCGCTGGACGAGATTCTCGACAACGATCAGTTTGTGGACGTTTTGGACGAGTGCGACGCTCTACTGCACCACAAGTACCATTTGATCTACGCGGTGGGGACTCCGATTCCACTTTGCAGTGGAACTGAGCGGTGGACAGTAGCTGAAGCCTTACTGCGCGTCGTAGCCGACAAATCGCCTCGCTCTCGAGTCGCTAGAATCCTTCGAGCTTCTCACGTCGCCTGCTCGTCGCCAGACTACGCGACGCGCTTCGGCGCATTTGAAGGAACCCGACTGAACGTTGTCGTGGAAAGCACTGAGCCACTGCGAGAAGAACTGAAGAGGGCGTTGGTGCTGGACCTGGTCGACAACGCCCCGTTCGAGCTGATGTGGCTGAGTACTCTGGGGGGTATGAATCTCCGTGGCCCGCTGCTCACTGCACTTACCAACTCCGATGTGAGTTTGCAAGACGCCCTGGGAGACGGTGTTAGCAGATTCTTACCGTACCTAAGTCAACTACTCGCATTGCGAGGGCTCGTAGCGTTCGGTGTACTTGAACACTGCATGGAGCAGCGCTATCGAGTGGACTTCGGACTCCCCTTTCCTGGCTCACGGTCGAAGAAGATCGCAATCCCCTTCCGAGCGGCGGATGTTCCTTCCGAGCGATCGGAGTTCAGCCACCCCGACGTGTGTATCGTGCTCACCTTGCTGGGCTATTACCACAGCGGGCTCACGGACAAGGAAGTTGGAATCACGTTCCGGATGCTGCTGCGCTTGGACATATCGGAGCAACGCCAAAAGTACAGCCAGTGGTTCGCTAGTATCGAAGGTGGTTTGAGCGCGGAGAAACAAAAGGCCTTGTGCGACGTGCGCCATGTCAGTCTTAGTGACGCCAGGCAGTTCGGAACACTCTGCAGGGTCTACAAGTTCTGCATGGAGGCCATCAACTTTTATCTGAACACGTGCGTGTTCGCGAGGGATACGCAGCAATATCCACAACGACTCTCGCGAACGGCCTGGAACCTCGCGGCTGGAGACAACAACATCGGTTTTTCGGGCACGAACGACAACCACCGCCTGCTCCCGCTTTCAGTGATGCAGCGAGAGCCGAACGAATCGGGCACAAATGGCAAAATGGTCGACAAGATCGTGAGCGTGACAGAAGGGTACGAGGTGATCCGTCCGAGGTCTCACAGTTTTCCGGTTCCGTGGCAGACGGTTCTCCGATGCTGTATGGAGAAACATGTCCAGGCGCTCATTGACACCGGCGCGTTGCTGGCTGGCGTGGCAAACCATGACGCGGCTGAATTCCTCCTCTTACAACCAGATTTTGAGTTTCAGGGCGTGACGTACTACGACAGTCGCGAGGCGTTCAACTGCTGGGTGGTTGTGGAGAAGCATCGACGCCTTGTGACGCCGCTGAAGAGCGCGTCGATGCACGAGAAGGAGACGTTCGTGATCTTCGACGAGGCGCGATCGCGAGGATCCGACATGAAATTGCCTCACGAAGCCTCGGCCTTGCTGACTCTGGGCCCGAAGCTCACGAAGGACAAACTGATGCAAGGTGCGGGTCGGATGCGGCAGCTCGGATGCAGCCAAACGCTGTGGATCGCGAGCTTCGATGAGGTAGCGCAGAGTGTTCTGCAAAGTAGCGACAAGAGTGAAGTCTCGGGCTTGACTGCTGTCGACGTGCTGAACTGGGTCGTGGACAACACGAAAGCGGAGTCTGTACGTGGATTACTGGAGTGGGCCGGCAACGGCATTCACTTCCGCAAGACGCAGCTGGACCCAACCACTGAGTTGATTGATGAGAATTGGTCGCTGGAATTCTTGTACGAAGGAAACCTCAAGCCCGTCAAGCTTTCGCACGCCATTGAGACCAAGGTCCGGGGGCTGGACGATGCGCTGATTGCTCGAATCTGTGAACGAGGCGCCAAATACGGACTGGACGACGAAGTGTACGTGAGCTTGCACACGGACGAGTGCGAGCGCGAGCTGCAGGTGGAGGAGGAGGTCCAACAGGAGCAAGAGACTGAATTGGCAGACTGTAAGCCTGCGAAAGAGAAGACTTGGGACTACAGGAGGATCTTCAGCGCTCGATCTATCGACGATCTCAAGAGGGTCGTCAAAGTATCGGACGTGGAGAGCTTCCTTCGTCGGTGGATCTCGCCTAAGAACCTGGCAGGTCTCTCCTGGAAAGCTGCCCGGATCTTTGGAACGGAAAAGTTCTTCACGACGACCACGATTCGATCGGGTGTCGACCGTATGAACGAGTTCCTGCGAGTAATTGACGTTGTGCTGGTATTCGACAGTGGGGAGGTGTTGTTGGTGTCCGAGCGTGAAGCGGACCACATCCTGGAGTTGCTTTGGTCGAATTCAACTGCGTGCAGCTTCCGCTTCTTGAACTTCGCCTTTGCGTGTGAAGCAATTGATCGTGTCGGTGTGGGCACCAAGTTTCAAGATGTGCGGCTGGTGCTTGGCTCTCGTCTGGATTGTGCTCTCCCCCTGCTATCAACGGTAGGCTGCCACCTTTTCAACGGGGAGACGATGCTTGCCAGGCGCCAGGAAGCTGTGGTGGAGCCTGCATTCCGTGAGTTACTTCGTCCACCAGTGCAGCGAGAGGCGACTCTGAGCAACTTTGTCAAGTCACGAGGACGTGGCCACAAGTGGGCGCGCTCGTTCCTGCATGAACTCTGCTGCCGCATGGACCTGGAGGAGAGCAGCCGCTGAAGGCTGGTGTGAGTCAAGTTGCCTGTTCGCGGACGGAATACGGAGAAAAGTTAATAAACGTCTAATACAGCAATCTTCGACTCACAAAGAGAAACGTTTTGCCACTGAGTTGATGAGAATCATCCGAGGTTCAGCTAGCATCAATGGATCGAGACGGGAGCAGGCGTCCCAAGCAGTGCGCGCTTGAATGGTCCCCGAGTCAGCGGATCCGGCAGAGGAAAAGGAGGCGCCGGAACAGCGTCACACTCCGTCTGCGTATGCAGCGAAGATGGCATCGACGAACTCGACGTCGTTTCTCCACCCGAAGATGACCGACCATGCACGGACCCTTCATTTTGGACCTGTCTTGATGTAGTATATCTCTCGTGCGCTGCTGTTGTGAGTGAGACTGTGCGGGCCGATGAGTTTCATCGTCAAAGGAGACGTCACATTATAGCACTCCTGTAGACTTCTTCGCGCTATGAGAGCACCGCTTTGTTGGTTGTGTTCAGCGGGTCTGCCGCTTGGTGACAACGTCTACACTGGTAAAACCATGGTTGCTGAACATCACCAACAAGTAGGCGACAAAATCTCGACACCAGCGCTCAATCTGTTGGGCTGCTGCAATGCGGATGACTGCGGTAGCACGTACTGCTTAGTTTGGAGGCTAAAGGCGTCTACAAACCCACCAATGCTAGCTCTCAAGTCAACGCTCTGCTCTTGTAGTGTCCGTCGTGCCTCCGTTGGGAGCAAAGAAACTCTCGTCCCCTTGGTCACGACGACCAACGCAACGGAGCGATGCACCACCGCAGATATGAACTGTGGCGTCTTCTGGTGCCCCAACTCGTTCGTTGCCGCCGACTTTGAGCGCTTTCGAGCTTCTTGCAGCTCGAACGCGAACATTTCCGTGAATTTCTCTTCCGATTCCGAGTCCAGTGCAAGCGAGCATCAACTTAAACGAGTGCCTTTTTTCAAATTCATACTATACCTACTTCCGCGTCGGTAGCACGTCCGTGTGGTACTTGTTGCGGAAGTACGAGCGCACGGGGCCGAGAACCACAACGTACTCAAACAGGATGCAGGTGAAGATGTTGCCCAGAATCATGCCGAGGTACTTGAGTCGGAAGCTCATGGGCATGGGGATGTCCGGGAGGCCAACGACATTCGTGCTGCTCGAGATGCGGAACCGGTCGGTGACGATGCTGGGCTCGCCCAGAAGCAGGTACAGGTCGAGAGCCATGACCACCGCGAAGAAGGCCAACAGCACGTAGTTGCGCCAGATCGGTTGCCGGTAGATGGAGCCGAAGCTGAAGGTCCACGCCGCCGTGTGCTGCTGGAAAATGATGGAGACGAAGAGGATCGTCGCCATGTGGTTGTCCGAGAGCAGCCACCACTTGGCCACATCGACATCGTCGGGCGAGAACGGGCAGTACCAGACCTCGCTCGAGAGCATGTGGATGCTGCAGGCCAGGTAGATAATGTTGATGGCCTCCTGTCCGAGGATCGAGGCCAGCGTAGTGGGTCCGATGAGGCTGGACGTCGGACGCATGTCCTTCAACTCATCCAGAGGCTTCGACAGAGTAATGACGTACGAGCACCCGACCAGCATGAAACCCTCGACAAGGATCCAGCACCACTGCGACAGGTTGATCGCGTGGTAGTACATGAACATTCGCAGCACGGAGCCGATGAGGCCGTACATGACGAGGAACTTGACCGATGCGAACGAAGTCGCCACACTGCAGCGGCCCTCGCGGCACAGGTCCACCACCGACTGAATCGTCTTCTCCCGGCTCGTGAACGGCGACACCACCGACGCCTCCGCGTCACTGAGAGCCACGCCCGCGTGCGCGAAACGCAGCGCACCGCAGTCGTTGCCGCCGTCGCCGCACATGCCCGTGACCGCCCCCGTCTCCATGTGCAGCTTGACGCACTCCACCTTGCCGTCGGGCGTCATGCGGCTGAAGATGCGGATGTTGAGCAGCAGGCCCTTGATCTCGCCCATGGCCACCAGGTAGTCGAACGCCACGCCCGTGACGGCCAGCTCCACGTCCTCGCCCTGCGCGACCAGGTGCTTGACGCCCGCCAGGTCGTACTCCTCCTCCGAGTCCACGTCGCGCCAGACTAGCTTCTTGGCCTCCTTCGTCGACACCATCTCGCCCAGGATCACGCGCGAGCTCGAGTCCACCATGCCGCTCTGGCGCGCGATGTAGCAGCCGCACATGGCGTTGTCGCCCGTGATCATGACGGTGCGGATGTCGCCACCCTTGAGCTTGGCGATGGCGTCGGCCGTGTCGTCCTTGAGTTCGTTGCGGAACAGGATGAGCCCCAGCAGCGACAGGTTCTCGTCCACGGCCTCGCGGTTGCCGGCGAACGCCACCACTTGCTCGTGCGTCCAGTCGCTCGGCAGCTCGCGGTACGACAGACCCAGCACGTAGCACCCGTCCTTGGCGAGCCGGTCGGCCACGCTCTTGTAGTCGCCGGGCACGCTGGCCGCCGAGCTCAGCTGCTGCATGCGCTCGTACGAGCCCTTGCAGAACACGTAGTACTTGCCACTCCTGCGGTTGCGCACCACCACGCTCATGGACATGCGGTGGTGGTCGAAGTCGTAGCGCTTGACGAACTCGAGCTCGAGACCCGGGTCCACCTTGGACCTGACGCACGGCTGCTCGCCCTCCTTCTCCACCAGCTCCCAGCCCGTCGCCGTGAACATGCGCACCTCCACCTCGTTGCCTACCAGGCGGTCCTCGAGCGACCCGACCGAGTGGCACGTCGACAGCGCGTACAGCAGCTCTTCGGCCGACGGCGCGTCCTTGACGTCGTTCACGATCGGCGTGAACCTGCAGTCCTTGACGGGCTGCACGCCGAGGAAGTCGAGGCCCTGCTTGGTAAGCGTGCCAGTCTTGTCGAAGCAGAAGATGCGCACCTTACCGCAGAGCGTGATCCGCTGGACGTTGAGAGAGAAGATGCCTTGCTTCTCGAGGCGCTGCGAAGCGTTTACTTGGCCCACCGTAATGACCACGGGCAAAAGCGGACTGATGACGCACGAGAGCACGAAAATGGCGTAGCAGAAGGCGGCGTAGCGGTTGCTGAGCTTGCCGTTGCTCAGCAGGAAGTTGATGACAAGGATACAGGCGATGACGGCGTAGATCAGCAGAAGCGAGATCAGCATCTTGAGGTGCTCGTTGTACTTGAAGCGCATGGGGATCGGGAACAGGATGGACTGGATCAACTGGCCCTTGGTCGTGTGAGCTCCCGTCGTCTGCACGATGGCCAGGATCTCCTCGTTGCGGCCCGAGGACAGCACGCGCGTGCCGGCGAACAGCGTGTGCTTCTTGCTGCTCTTCTCCGGGTCGTACACCTCCGTGCTGCGCTCCGGGATCGGGAACTTCTGCACAGGCATCGACTCGCCCGTCAGCATCGACTCGTCACACACCGTCGTGCCCTTGACGATGGCCATATCGCACGGCACCACCCAGTTCTCCGACACCTTGACGAGGTCGCCCGGAGCGATCTCGGGCGAGGACAACACGCGCCACTCACCGTCGCGGAACACCGTCACATCCGTGCGGTAGCGGGTCATCTGCACGATGGACGACTGGATCTGCCGCTGCGTGTAGATGTTGACCACGGCCGCGCCCAGTACCACGACCGTCATGACGATGCCCATGTTCCAGTACGTGAAGTAGTACCAGACGTAGTAGCACATGATCTGGTAGATGTAGAAGAGCGTGAAGAACTCGTGCGCCATGGACACCGGTAGCGACGGCATCTCGACGTCCACCGAGTTGCGGCCCACCGTGTTGATGCGGTGCTTGGCCTCCGAGTCCGACAGGCCGCTAGCCTCTTGCAGCATGTCGTTGTACGTGCGTCCGAGCGCCACAGCACCAGGGACGAAGCGCTGTTCGGTCTCCTCGTACACGTAGCGCAGGTGTTGGAACTCCACGATGCGGAGACCGTCCACCTCCATGACCGGAACCGTGGTGCGGTAGCCGCTGATCTTGCCCTTGGACGCGAAGAAGCCCTCGATTTTAGCCACGAAGTCGGACACACCCGAGCGATCGGCCAGCAAACCCTCCGTGTCGTCACGCTTGAGCATGTACACGTACTGGCACTTGTCGAGAGAGAGACACGGAGACGAAAGTAGTTGAAAATGCGGTCTTGCTTCGTCATGATTGAGACGAACCAAGCAAATGCGAAGATCCAAACCACGAAGAAGACGGCAGTATTGTCCTCTAGGGCTGTTTCGTGCAGTGCTCGAAAGTGCACGAAAGTACTTTCGTGCAAATTCATCAGCCCTTTATTATGGAGATAGCCCATTGAGACATCAATGAAGATTCTCTACTAAGAACGATTAAAAAGCTTGAAATTACAGGTATAACCCTACCAAAACCGGTGCACGAAACAGCCCTATTGTCCTCCATTGCGTCGAACAGAGGCGGATCGAATTTCCGGTAGAAGTCGAGGATGATCACGATCAGCATGACGTGTAGGGATAGTGACGCCACCAAATACGAAAGTCCCCACGTACGAATCCGAGTATCCGGTCTGCACGATCTCCTCGCTAGCCGAAGCCTGCATCATCACATCTGATACTCGAATACTCGTGCGGCGGCCACCGATACTTTCCGAAGCCGGCTTCATCAACGGCGTGTCCAGCAGTTTTTTACTAACTTCAGTGGCTGGGTGCTCCCCTCTTGTCATGTACTCTCTGTAGACTTCCCAGACCCCCAACAACACGAAGAACGCCAAGAATGACAGGTAAATCAGAACCAGTGGCGTCTCCATGCAGGTGGTAAACCTCGCCGATATTTCTCTTTCTCCTGGAGCATTGAGCGGGGACGAACAGGCCTCCTTCAGGTGGGTATCGACGGTGCCATCATGCAGCATGATGCTGTAGCACTTGGCGCCCGCAGGGAACGACGCGTTGTTGCTGCGCGAATTGCCGTCGTATGCCCAGAAAACGGTGCTGTCCTGCGAGTCCTCGGCCAGCGACGAGTTCGTGTCGGCGCACTGCAACTGCTCCGTCAACTCCCCCGTCTCCGTATTGGCCACAGCCTGCACCCGACACACCGAGCTCGGTTCGTTGTAGTAGAACTCCTGTGTGGTCGGGTGGTACATGGTGTACGGGAAGTTGACTTGGCGCTGCTTGTTCCAGCCGTCCACGTAGTACGACTCGGTAGTCTCCGCCCGACGGCCGGTTGTACTTGGTGTAGAGCACCTTGGTGGTCTCCGAGTACTCGCAGCAGTGGTATTCGGGGCTGTGGCGGACCGGACAGGCAGCGAAGTCCATTTGGTCGGCGGCGGCAGCGCGCACTTGCGTGGGTGCAAGCGCGGCGAGCGCCAGCGTTGGCAGGAGCGCGGAACTCCAGCGAGGCGTCATCACCGAAGAGACAACGGACTGCGTGGGTCTCACTTGGCGCTGGGTCGTCGATTCTTGAATGCGCTGGTTTGCGGTGAGCGTCGGGAGAGGAGAGAATACGTTTGCTCAGTCATATGCCGTCGGTAATCGTGGCCCAACCAGCCGGCACTGTGCGGCCCATGCGATGTATCGCCTCATGATCACAGGTCGGACAGTGCAAGCGTGAGCAACAAACAGGTCCGCTGGTTGGCTTTAGAACTTCTAGCCTAGAAGTGCGCGCTTGTGCTTGTGGCAAAGCTGGCAACAGGTGATGATCGAAGCCACGCTGTGCTTCAGCGGTGAGCTTGAGTCAGCGCCTGCGCTGAATGAAGCAACGCAACGGCTGCTGCTGCGTCGCGCGGAGACCCTGGGCTGGTGCAATTCTGGCATCTGGGAAGTCAAAATGAAAAAAAGGTGTAAGCTACACCGTCGATAGGGTTACAGTGTATTAATAACCCTCCCAGAATAATTTACAATTTACAATACCGTACACATAATTGTAAAATGGGTTGAATAGAATACATACGTAGGGAACCCATTATTATGAAATTTCGACATCGTCTCCGGATTCTATTTCGTGCTTTGTAGCATTCACTTAGAAAAATTATACGCGCCTAGAAGTTCAGTAGCTAACCCATCGCACCACAGCTCAGCACTCGAGCTTGACACTTCAACATGAGACGGCCCCCATCGCGTAATGTAGGTCACGAAAAGGTATTTCTCACGAATATGCGGCACCGCGCGTTGTTATCCATTCCAGGCTCGGTAGGCCTCCTCGGCGGAAACGTCTCCAGCTGCCGAGTGCGCCTCAACTGCGTCAGGCCGCCGACATTGTGGGGTCAGAGAAGAGCATAGACTTATGAGAGCAGCCTACCATCGCCACTGATGACCCTGAATCCTGCTCTAGTGCTGTGGGTTCAGAGGCCGACGATGCCGAGATGGATCATGAGACAGCAGACTATCGTCCAGACGACTCTTTTGACTACGACAGCGCGGAATAATGGTGCGGAAGTCGCTATCTGTCAGGAGCAGAATCGCTATAACGCATTTACTTAACAACCAAACCGTTTGCGAATTACATTCGCTTAAGTATGACCAAAATGTAGGATTGACCTAAAAATCCGGTTACCTTCGTTGACATCACCCGCCGATCGGTCAATGAATTCCCCCCCCCCCCCTTCCTGGGCTTACATGGTAGTACAGCGGTGTTTTTGTCCAACGACCAGACAGTTAAAAAAATCGCGACCACCACGTCGCAAGTTGGTTGAATCGCAATTTGCTACACTGTAGATAAAAAGCTGAATAAACCAAACACTCACCTTCTTCTTCGTTAAACGCGCTAGCATAAATAAACAAAGCAAAACCTTTCCAGAAAATCGCTCTTTTGCTGCCATATAGAGATCATTGAGTTTTGGCCGCAAGTTTCAAGACACCACTAACAATACAGCTCGGTTGATCGTTTAAAAATGGGTTCTGTATTCTTTATCAACAGCGTTGCTTCTTGCCTCGAAGCCTCGCAGATTCTACGCGACAATACATGAAGACTACCCGCAGGTCAGATCTCTAAGCACCCCTGCCTACTTCTTCATCGGGATCAAGTCCGTGTGGTACTTGTTGCGGAAGTACGAGCGCACGGGGCCGAGAACCACAACGTACTCAAACAGGATGCAGGTGAAGATGTTGCCCAGAATCATGCCGAGGTACTTGAGTCGGAAGCTCATGGGCATGGGGATGTCCGGGAGGCCAACGACGTTCGTGCTGCTCGAGATGCGGAACCGGTCTGTGACGATGCTGGGCTCGCCCAGAAGCAGGTACAGGTCGAGAGCCATGACCGCCGCGAAGAACGCCAGGACCAGGTAGTTCTTCCAGATCGGCTGACGGTACTGCGAGCCGAAGCTGAAAACCCACGCCGCAATGTGCTGCTGGAAGATGACAGCGAAGAAGAGCACCGTCGCCAGGTGGTTGTCGGACATGAGCCACCACTTGGCCACATCCACGTTGTCGGGCGAGAACGGGCAGTACCAGACCTCGCTCGAGAGCATGTGGATGCTGCAGGCCAGGTAGATAATGTTGATGGCCTCCTGTCCGAGGATCGAGGCCAGCGTAGTGGGTCCGATGAGGCTGGACGTCGGACGCATGTCCTTCAACTCATCCAGAGGCTTCGACAGAGTAATGACGTACGAGCACCCGACCAGCATGAAACCCTCGACAAGGATCCAGCACCACTGCGACAGGTTGATCGCGTGGTAGTACATGAACATTCGCAGCACGGAGCCGATGAGGCCGTACATGACGAGGAACTTGACCGATGCGAACGAAGTCGCCACACTGCAGCGGCCCTCGCGGCACAGGTCCACCACCGACTGAATCGTCTTCTCCCGGCTCGTGAACGGCGACACCACCGACGCCTCCGCGTCACTGAGAGCCACGCCCGCGTGCGCGAAACGCAGCGCACCGCAGTCGTTGCCGCCGTCGCCGCACATGCCCGTGACCGCCCCCGTCTCCATGTGCAGCTTGACGCACTCCACCTTGCCGTCGGGCGTCATGCGGCTGAAGATGCGGATGTTGAGCAGCAGGCCCTTGATCTCGCCCATGGCCACCAGGTAGTCGAACGCCACGCCCGTGACGGCCAGCTCCACGTCCTCGCCCTGCGCGACCAGGTGCTTGACGCCCGCCAGGTCGTACTCCTCCTCCGAGTCCACGTCGCGCCAGACTAGCTTCTTGGCCTCCTTCGTCGACACCATCTCGCCCAGGATCACGCGCGAGCTCGAGTCCACCATGCCGCTCTGGCGCGCGATGTAGCAGCCGCACATGGCGTTGTCGCCCGTGATCATGACGGTGCGGATGTCGCCACCCTTGAGCTTGGCGATGGCGTCGGCCGTGTCGTCCTTGAGTTCGTTGCGGAACAGGATGAGCCCCAGCAGCGACAGGTTCTCGTCCACGGCCTCGCGGTTGCCGGCGAACGCCACCACTTGCTCGTGCGTCCAGTCGCTCGGCAGCTCGCGGTACGACAGACCCAGCACGTAGCACCCGTCCTTGGCGAGCCGGTCGGCCACGCTCTTGTAGTCGCCGGGCACGCTGGCCGCCGAGCTCAGCTGCTGCATGCGCTCGTACGAGCCCTTGCAGAACACGTAGTACTTGCCACTCCTGCGGTTGCGCACCACCACGCTCATGGACATGCGGTGGTGGTCGAAGTCGTAGCGCTTGACGAACTCGAGCTCGAGACCCGGGTCCACCTTGGACCTGACGCACGGCTGCTCGCCCTCCTTCTCCACCAGCTCCCAGCCCGTCGCCGTGAACATGCGCACCTCCACCTCGTTGCCTACCAGGCGGTCCTCGAGCGACCCGACCGAGTGGCACGTCGACAGCGCGTACAGCAGCTCTTCGGCCGACGGCGCGTCCTTGACGTCGTTCACGATCGGCGTGAACCTGCAGTCCTTGACGGGCTGCACGCCGAGGAAGTCGAGGCCCTGCTTGGTAAGCGTGCCAGTCTTGTCGAAGCAGAAGATGCGCACCTTACCGCAGAGCGTGATCCGCTGGACGTTGAGAGAGAAGATGCCTTGCTTCTCGAGGCGCTGCGAAGCGTTTACTTGGCCCACCGTAATGACCACGGGCAAAAGCGGACTGATGACGCACGAGAGCACGAAAATGGCGTAGCAGAAGGCGGCGTAGCGGTTGCTGAGCTTGCCGTTGCTCAGCAGGAAGTTGATGACAAGGATACAGGCGATGACGGCGTAGATCAGCAGAAGCGAGATCAGCATCTTGAGGTGCTCGTTGTACTTGAAGCGCATGGGGATCGGGAACAGGATGGACTGGATCAACTGGCCCTTGGTCGTGTGAGCTCCCGTCGTCTGCACGATGGCCAGGATCTCCTCGTTGCGGCCCGAGGACAGCACGCGCGTGCCGGCGAACAGCGTGTGCTTCTTGCTGCTCTTCTCCGGGTCGTACACCTCCGTGCTGCGCTCCGGGATCGGGAACTTCTGCACAGGCATCGACTCGCCCGTCAGCATCGACTCGTCACACACCGTCGTGCCCTTGACGATGGCCATATCGCACGGCACCACCCAGTTCTCCGACACCTTGACGAGGTCGCCCGGAGCGATCTCGGGCGAGGACAACACGCGCCACTCACCGTCGCGGAACACCGTCACATCCGTGCGGTAGCGGGTCATCTGCACGATGGACGACTGAATCTGCCGCTGCGTGTAGATGTTGACCACGGCCGCGCCCAGTACCACGACCGTCATGACGATGCCCATGTTCCAGTACGTGAAGTAGTACCAGACGTAGTAGCACATGATCTGGTAGATGTAGAAGAGCGTGAAGAACTCGTGCGCCATGGACACCGGCAGCGACGGCATCTCGACGTCCACCGAGTTGCGGCCCACCGTGTTGATGCGGTGCTTGGCCTCCGAGTCCGACAGGCCGCTGGCCTCTTGCAGCATGTCGTTGTACGTGCGTCCGAGCGCCACAGCTCCAGGGACGAAGCGCTGTTCGGTCTCCTCGTACACGTAGCGCAGGTGCTGGAACTCCACAATGCGCAGCCCATCCACTTCAACCACGGGAACCGTGGTGCGGTAGCCACAAATCTTGCCCTTTGAAGCGAAAAAGCTCTCGATCTTAGCCACGAAGTCGGACACACCCGAACGATCGGCGAGGAGAACCTCCGTGTCGTCACGCTTGAGCATGTAGACGTACTGGCACTTGTCGAGTGGCACACGAAGACGGAAGAAGTTGTAGATCCGATCCTGCAGCGCGACGATGACCACGAATCAGATGGACGTGATGACCCACACCACAATGAACACGACAGCGTTATCCTCTGACGCATCGAAGAGCGGTGGGTCGAAGCGACCGTAGTAGTCGGCGATGATGATGATGAGAAGCACGTTCAACGCGAGGGACGCCACCACCACGCAACCAAACACGAACGTGCCGAGGTACGAGTTGGAGAACCCGGTCTGCAGGATTTCTTGTGCGGCTTCGATCTGCATGCGGGTGTCGGACGCGCGGACGCCCGTGTGACGACCGTGTGGGTTGCCAGCAACAGCCCTCGACGGCGTCTGTGGCGTCGCGATCAGCTTCTTGGTCATCTCGTTCACCGACTGGTTGGTGTTCTGCATGTAGTTCTTGTAGACTGTCCACCCACCGAGCACAACAAAGAATGCCAGGTAGAGCAGGTTGATGACGACCAACGGAGTCTCTGTGTACGTGGTGAAGCGAGGCGTTGTAGACGTCGAGGTCGAGGTGCAGGCATTCTTGAGGTCGGTATCAACAGTACCATCCCTCAGCATGAGACTGTAGCAGTTGGCACCCACCGGGAACGACGCGTTGTTGTTGCGCACATTGGTAGCGTACGTCCAGAAGACGGTGCTGTCCTGCGAGTCCTCGGCCAGCGACGAGTTCGTGTCGGCGCACTGCAACTGCTCCGTCAACTCCCCCGTCTCCGTATTGACCACAGCCTGCACTCGGCACACCGAGCTCGGTTCGTTGTAGTAGAACTCCTGTGTGGTCGGGTGGTACATGGTGTACGGGAAGTTGACTTGGCGCTGCTTGTTCCAGCCGTCCACGTAGTACGACTCGTAGTCTCCGCCCGACGGCCGGTTGTACTTGGTGTAGAGCACCTTGGTGGTCTCCGAGTACTCGCAGCAGTGGTATTGGGGGCTGTGCCGGACCGGACAGGCAGCGAAGTCCATTTAGTCGGCACTGGCAGCTCGCACTTGCACGGGTGCAAGTGTGGCGAGCGCCAGCATTGGTAGGAGCACGGAGCTCCAGCGAGGCATCTTGGGCGGCAGTCGATCGAGTGAAGATACTGCCGGACGAAGGTGGTTGGCTGTGAGGCCGCTGATGCTAATCGCCGAATGAGTTAGGCCGCAGGTCGAGCGAGGCACATGAAGTGCGTCACCAAGTCGTTTACCTTTGGTTTACGTTTGGTAGATCCGCAAATCCTCCCAGGACCCTCGGCGAGCTGTGGTTGGGGCAGCCTGGTCACGTTTCCGCATCCAAACACAACGAAGGACAACCCGAAAAAACGCTCAACGAGTTGGAACGGTTGGCTCGCGAGCCATGAGCGACGCTGGTGGCAGTGGTTCGATGTGTAGGCGCACTTTGCACCGAGCGAGCGAGCGGGATTTCGTGGATCGTGATTGCATGCACGCCTCCTTGAATGCTTCAAGAGGGGACTTTCGCCAGACGCCACTTTTCGCTGCTAGGCTGGAGCCATAGACAGGCATGCAGCGGACTGGTACAGTGTATCTCTTCAGTGTAAATTGAAAGCTAGCGGTGAAGGATTGGCGTGGTGCTGCATTGATTGGAGCATTGCTCAAGTCGCAGTGATGGTCACCGCCGGCGATGGTGCGGAATTTTTTGCCTTCCTGCTGCATTGCAATCTTCTTAGGCCCTCGTATCTTCTCTCGCCTGCATTCAATACAAAACCTAATATAATTATCGCAGCTCGCATTATTTTCTTATTTTCCAATTGCTGAAAGTATTCGACAAAATAAGGTACTCCACACACTTTCTCGAAGATAAAATGTGTGAGGTGGTACACATAGTGCCAACTTGTGTAAAAAACGTGTCGCAAAGTGTCTCGTTTATGGGCTCAGCGGTGCCTTGATTGTTCCTGCGTATTGTTTAGTCGGACGCAGCAGTGCCGAGTCACCTGGACTCCAAGTTGGAGGGCAGCGAGCGAGCGCTCGCGCCCCGGCTTGGCCTCCTGTGTCGGACAAACTACCATCAATACCTAAAAACCTGACACGTGTATACAAACTATACAACGGCCACCCAACACCACACAGCAGCACCCAACTAGGTACGATATGCACGAAGGATTGGTACGCTAGCACAGCCAGCCATCCCACCAGCACCTTAAAGCGCCCTTCATACTTCGAAAGCCTAAGAAACAAGTACTCGCCGCACCTTGCCGTCCTACTACCCATCGCCATGCCACGAGCTCTCCTCTGGACTCCTCTCGCAATCGGTTTCTCCAACAAAGACGCCAGCATCTTGCTGGAGACGATCAAGCCTTCCAAGGTTACCAAGAGCGAGTTAGTTCCGTGCACCGTGTGCACCGTGGCCGAGCCGCATAACATGCGCTACCGGCTTCGTCGCTGTAGCTGCCGGTCCTGCACTGAGGAAGCTCCCTACGCCAAGTGCCCTTGGCGGGCTAAGACGCTCCACTGTGAGAAGGTTGACCACGTCGACATCTACGAAACAAGCAAGCATGTCACCGCGATGCGCACTGCCCCCGAACCACGGCTCACGTCGGAAATGAAGGTGGTCGCGCGGGAGATGACGGCCCAAGGACTGATGCCGGTTCGTATCCGGAATGCTATCCTGCGCAAGTTTAACCTGGCTGCTGAGGAGCTACCAGCGCTGTCCAAAATCCAGCGCTTTTGTCAGCACTACGCGAGCACGAAGCTCGGCTGTAACGACTACGTGAAAGAAACGCACGATCTGATCCGTGACGCCAGCTACGTGAGCACGATGGACGAACATGAGAGCTTCACCTTCGCCTTAAACTCGGACGCTACCGGCCTTCCTGTTATTGGTTTTGGCTCGGACGCCAAACCGTTCATTGTGGGGGTGACGTCACGACGCTTGCTCACGCAAGCCGACCGTGAAGCTGGATCGCTGCTACTGCACGTCGATGCTACGTTTAAGCTAAACCAAGTTGGTTATCCATCCATAGTTGTTGGCTTTTCGGATTGCGCTCGCGGGTTCCATTTGCTTGCGCTGTTTGTGTCCTCGCAGCGCAAGCAGGAGCATTTCACGGAGATGTTCGTCGCGCTGCAGCAGATCTACAAGCGGGTGATTGGCAAACAACTTCTGATCAAGATGGTCATGGGTGACGCTGACGACGCGCAGTTCAACGGGGTGGAGCGTGTGTTTGGTGAGAGTGCTGAGGTATAATACCTCATGTGCTTTTATCATGCCGTTGCGAAAGTATTTGAGAAGACACGTGCTCTGCAGCCTTCTCACGCTAAGCTGGTGATGACTGGGGTCTACGACATGCACTTCTCTCTCAGCGAGGTCGAGTTCCTCACCACGAAAGCGCGAGTGCTGGGAGAGTGGGCTGAAGTGCCTGAGCTGGCCACATTTGTCACCAACTTCAAGGCGCAATGGCTCGCTGGACGCTACACGCACTGGCAGGTTTACCACACGCCGCGGGGCTGGGCAACTACAAACAACCCTGTCGAACGGTATAACAGGACAATCAAGCGTCAGTACACGCTTCACACCAGACTGAAGATGGGGGCTCTTCTGGGGCAGTTTCTTACCTGCTGCACCGCCGAGAGTTTGAGCGACAAGCCCTTCGCAACCGAGGCGACGGTCCCCAAGTCTCTGGTCCGGCGCAGCAAGGAACTCGCGGCTGCAAAGCTGCTGCATGAGTATTCTCGCTGTCGAGCCAGCATCGCGTTTCTGCTCGATGAAGATGCTGATACGCGCCCTCCGGCTGACTGCGTGCGCGTTGTTTCAAAGTCATGCCCTCGCATCTTCGATCCCGAGGTGGGTCGGACGCACGAAGCAATCATGGTAACGGCCCAGCAGGGTGTGCACCTGGCCCGTATGGAAGTGGAGGGAATGCCGTCGACTGGGTGGACGGTCAACACGTCCTCGCGTTCATGCAGCTGCCGCTTCTTCCAGAAGTATGCTGCTTGCATCCACCTGACTCACGCACTCTCTATCCGTGGTCTTCTCCGCAGTGGCAAGCGTGCCACGCTTGTGTACCGCGGCTCGAACAAAGCCCGTCGAATGCAGAGCGAGACACAAGCCCCAGGCCGTCCCGCACAAAATGGCTACGCACTAGACAAAAACTAACGAGCGCGCCTGTGAACAAGGTCAATAGGCAAATAAACTTGCACAAACTAGAAGAGCAATAAGTTCGTCAAATAAACTCGCATTTGTTGCAATACCTTGCTGATCTCGCTGCGTCAACATTGATCCTTATCATGCATGGTCCTCCTTTGTCTACTGATCTAATCGCACACATCCGCAATACACATTCAGTTTAGTAATGAGAACTATCATAGGAATTTCAGACAGTAGACTCACCGTAGCTAGGCGTGCACACATACCACGCGGGGCTGCAGCAAGCCGTCGCCACTGCGTAGCCGCCCCACAAGCCACCTTGCACAACTCTGTCGCAGCCGCTCCTGCAAGAGCGCTACCTGCTGCACCGCCTGCTCCAGCTGCACGTTTCCTCCGACCGAGGCAGCGACTCTCTGCGTCCACGTCGTCAGCTTTGAGGCACGCAGCCACGTCCAGCCCCACTTCGCGCTCCAGGAAGCCCGCAGTGTCGTCACACCGGCCCTTCTCACCTCCACCGGGAGCGGAGAGCACTTCTGCACGTCCGCTGTGGTGACGCTCCATCACGAGATGCCCTTGAACGCCCTGCAGAAGACGAAGTAACACATAGCACTTCTGTTAGCACGTTTCATCATTAACACGTTACTGGTCCTTCTTTGTACCGTAGAGAGGGAGCTTCAGCGCCACCACAGGTCCTTCTACGGCGCTCCATCCCTCTGTACAGATCGATCTCTTTCCTGCCTGCACTGCTGCGTTGCGGGGCCTGATGTGGCTGAGAGAATGTGTGGCAGGTGGCGGAAAGTTGCGAATTTGCAACTTAAGTGCTGACTTGAAGTTGCTATTTGAGGTTCTGGTTGCACATTAAGAGTGCTGTTGGCTGTCGTCCTTTTGTCGACCCGGACTCGGATTTCTCCTTTCTCTGCAATGGTGCTGATGTGCTTCTGTGGGTATTTCTGACATAATCTTTGGGTATTTTTCGTATTTAGTCCCTGTGTCGCGCGACCTGTTTGTCGCCTGGATGGCGGTCATTGCACTCCCACCGTCCACTCCACCCCGTTTTGACCCAGCCACTGCGGCGGCGGCCTCGTGCGGCTCGCTGCATTGTATGCGCCCGCGGCTTTCGCAGATGCAACCTCGTCGGGCAAAGATGCTGTGTGCGAGAGTGACACGGCTCATGCACAGCTGGATGTCACAATTCACACCCGCGCCCATTAACCTCCGCTTCCTGCACGCGGAAGCCCATGCGCCCGCCGCATCTATACCAGCCCATGCTCGAAGCGCTCGCGTCTTCCGCAGCTGCTGCCCCATCCATCGCGGGATGGGACCGCAGAGACTCCGCGAGGCGCCAAGGCGCCGCGCTCGGAGCCCGAGTTCTCGGACGGAGACGGAGAACCCTTCGGTGTGTCGGGCGGACCAAGGCGTGTCCAGGAACGGTATTCAGCGACGGGGAACACACCATTCCGAACACGCCGTGATCTGATTGGTCGACAGCAAACACGACGTGATTTGATTGGCCAAAATTAATGCGGTCTCACTTCAATGCGTTGTGGGACCGGATGTCCCGATTGCTCATTCTCCAGATTTTGCAGGACATCGATCTGGCTCACGAGCATAAGCGCAGGACGGAATGTCCTGTATTTTCCAAATCGAAACATCCCGGCGTCAAATCCTACACAAAATCTAGTATTGTTGGCACAAGCTTGGCAAAGTCAATCTTTTGTGCTTTTGCAGGACAACATGTCCTGCAAGATTTGCTGCATTGCGGGTGCCGCACCCGCAATGCAGCAAACTTCCGAGCTAATGCGCTAAGCAGAATATCATTTGTCCCTTGCTTGAAGTCGCACGAGCACACGCACGGACACGTAAACCAAGGAGGTCCTGCTTTCTCGGCTGGCTGCGAGTCTGGACAACATTGTCGACGTCCGTATCCTGTTGCGCACCCGCGCCGCGCAGGTTCAACGCGGCGCAGGAAACGAGGGATCCACATCAATCCTCGACCTTCGTCGTCCGTGCAATAGAGCCAGAAAGGAAACGACGTCTCTTGCATGGTGCGCGCCTGGCAGGACGAGTCTTGTCAGCGCCATGCCTACTAGGCATTGCCTAGGTAGGTAGGTGGCTACAGTACGCGAGCACTCTTCCTGCATGGAGCAGTGATCGAGCCTTGGGGTGCTTCGACCGAGACAATAGTAAAGCAGCGTACGGTAACCGGCGATTTCAAGAGGTAGCGACTACAGAAAGCAGCTACGTGTACACGCGTGTAGGGCATGAAGGGCGATCTACACCGCGGTGTGTCGCAAAGGTAAGCGTCGACCACCGGCGCCCCATCTTCAAGATACTTTTCCGATCTTCGTGTGCTCGCTTTGAATTTTTACGATGCACAAGCTAAATTTTACGGATGCAGAAGTGAAATTGGTCTGCAGTCATATTAGTAGACCTCAAGTCGAGACTTTCCCGACACAAGTCGAACACGTTGCCCCAACAAACTACAAGCGACAACCGTTGCAGTTGCACCGGTCCGAATATCTCCCACATACATGTACATGTCTGCAAAATGTCGCCGAAGCCTGTCTGCTATTAGCTAGTTCGCTCCATTTCCAGCGTGGGTTTCCAGGCCCGAAAGCAACGATGCCGATCGGTGTTTCCTTATCGGTGTCTTACGGTAATATCCATTCTGCTGGTGCATTAGACCGCCCAGCCGAGACCCCAGACGCTGGTGAACCGCAACAGGGGTTGGAGGTGTCAGGGCCTGCGGCTGGGACATTGCATTGATCCCCAATTAGGTGATCTTCCTACCACTGCAACCATAGCCAGACCCTGAGAAGTACTGTAAGGCAACCCCAGCTGCATGCACCGCAAATGCCGGCTGCGGCGGGACTTTGTGGGTTTGCGCCGCCAATATCTTGCTAGACCAGCTCTTGCCATCTGGGGCTCGCTTTTCGTGATTGTGTTGTGAGGCACGCTGCACGACCCGACGGATGTGTTGGCCTCCGGTCGAGGTAGACGCTGGTAAAAATTGCGTGAGTGTTGCTGTGTGGCAACTTTCATGTATTGTGCTTTTCAGTTGTTTTGGCGAATCGGACGTGTAAAACAGCTACCTACTAAGATGGACTAGGTTATCGGAGCAGATTAGCAGGTCCGTCGTAGGGAATTAGGACCAAGAATTGCTAGTCCGATGGAAGCACTTGCGCAGGTCCTACAAACAGCCGAAAGCCCGAATGTCGCCCATTTTCACGGCATTCGGGGTTTGAGGTCTTACGAAGGACTCCTGCCAAGTCTTGTGGCAGGACTTTCATACGAGCTGACTCTAATACGGCGTATGTCAAACACAGAATAAACTTAGGGAAACACGATGCAGTCGATACGTTAAACACTCCAGTCTTCGCCCTTCGCCTTCGCGGGTTCCGGCATTGCTTGCTTCCCTAAACAAAGCTTGCTTGGCTTGGACTCCAACCGGAGTCCATTGAACGGAAGACTCCGGGAGACCGCTCATCGGACTCGTCCGAGATTTGCATCTCAGATTTAGATGCCGCCAACCTCAGATTAACTGACCTCCAAAGTCCTACGCAGGACTCGGCAAAATGACCGAAAGACACAATAACAAAATGTAGCGTGGATATATTTACTCACTATTATAAGTTTGGGCGACGCCTTTCGGTCTCAACAAGTGAGCTCTGTGGCCGTCAAGGCTGCCGAGGGGGAAACGATGCTGCTATCTAACAAGGCGACTGCATGCAAACTTCATGGGTCCTAGCGGTCCCTAAACAGCAGATCACCTGCCCCATCCGTAGGTGATGACGGCTCCGACACTCAAGTTTCGCTACGAGCGCCCGCCGAGATGCAAATTACAAGTTGCCATCCAAGTGTCCATCTTCCTCGAGTCTAAAAGCAACATCTAATTCAAACTTCTAATACTGTAGCTCGTAGTTCAGCTCCGCTCGAAGCAGTCACGTGATCGTTACAACATCCAACTCCAGTCACAACAACCAAGTCAAGCAGCGAAAGCCTGGCCTGTCTTTTTTCCTGAAGGGTTATTTAAATAACCCTTGTTATTAAAATAACAAATGCGCGTGTTCAGAGACGGTGGTGCCATCTGGTTTAGGTAGGTGTCGGCGCTCCCCATGAGCTCCTCGCCGCTTGAGCTGTCCGTCCGCAGCCGAAGCCGCTGGAAGCGCAACCATCTCGCAGCACTGCCGCCTCACGCACAAGACGATTCATTCGGCAATTTGCCTCGGCGCGCTCACATCACACCAATCTTCACCCAAGTCAGTCGCACACACTCAGTGGCTACTCGCGTCTGACCAAACCGATTGTCATCAAACATGCCCCGCTGGAGTTCCGCGCTCCTGCCAACGCTGGCGCTCGCCGCGCTTGCACCCACGCAAGTGCGCGCTGCCGCCGCCGACCAAATGGACTTCGCTGCCTGTCCGGTCCGCCACAGCCCCGAATACCACTGCTGCGAGTACTCGGAGACCACCAAGGTGCTCTACACCAAGTACAACCGGCCGTCGGGCGGAGACTACGAGTCGTACTACGTGGACGGCTGGAACAAGCAGCGCCAAGTCAACTTCCCGTACACCATGTACCACCCGACTACACAGGAGTTCTACTACAACGAGCCGAGCTCGGTGTGCCGAGTGCAGGCTGTGGCCAACACGGAGACGGGGGAGTTAACGGAGCAGTTGCAGTGCGCCGACACGAACTCGTCGCTGGCCGAGGACTCGCAGGACAGCGCCGTCTTCTGGACGTACGCTGCCAACGTGCGCAATAACAACGCGTCGTTCCCTGCGGGCGCCAAGTGCTACAGCATCATGCAGCGTGACGGCACTGTTGACGAGGACCTGAAGAACGCCTGTACGTCTACATCCACGACGTCGACGCCTCGCTTCACGACCTTCACGGAGACCCCGCTCGTCATCATCTACCTGCTGTACCTGGCATTTTTCATCATCCTCGGAAGCTGGGCGTTCTTCAAAAGTATCAAGCAGAAGGGCAACAAGTCGGTGAACGAGATGAACAAGAAGCTGATCGCGACGCCACAGACGCCGTCGAGGGCCGTCGCCGGCAACGCCAACGGCCGTCACACGAGCGTCCGCGCTTCGGACACGCGCATGCAAATTGAAGCGGCCGAAGGAATTCTGCAGACCGGGTTCTCCAACTCGCGCCTGGGATCGTTCGTCTTCGGCTGCGTGGTCGTGGCGTCCCTCGCGTTGAACGTGCTTCTCATCATCATCATCGCCGACTACTACGGCAACTTCGACCCGCCGCTTTTCGACATCACGGAAGACAACGCGCTCGTGTTCATCATCGTCTGGGTCATCACGTCCATTTGGTTCGTAGTCATCGTGGCGATGCAGGACAGCATCTTCAACTTCTTCCGCCTCCGCGTGCCGCTCGACGAATGCGAATTCGTCTACATGCTAAAGCGCGATGACACCGAGGTACTCCTTGCTGACCGCTCGGGTGTGTCCGACTTCGTGGCTAAAATCGAGGGCTTCTTCGCGTCCAAGGGCAAGATCAGCGGCTACCGCACCACGGTTCCCGTGGTTGAAGTGGATGGGCTGCGCATTGTGGAGTTCCAGCACCTGCGCTACGTGTACGAGGAGACCGAACAGCGCTTCGTCCCTGGAGCTGTGGCGCTCGGACGCACGTACAACGACATGCTGCAAGAGGCCAGCGGCCTGTCGGACTCGGAGGCCAAGCACCGCATCAACACGGTGGGCCGCAACTCGGTGGACGTCGAGATGCCGTCGCTGCCGGTGTCCATGGCGCACGAGTTCTTCACGCTCTTCTACATCTACCAGATCATGTGCTACTACGTCTGGTACTACTTCACGTACTGGAACATGGGCATCGTCATGACGGTCGTGGTACTGGGCGCGGCCGTGGTCAACATCTACACGCAGCGGCAGATTCAGTCGTCCATCGTGCAGATGACCCGCTACCGCACGGATGTGACGGTGTTCCGCGACGGTGAGTGGCGCGTGTTGTCCTCGCCCGAGATCGCTCCGGGCGACCTCGTCAAGGTGTCGGAGAACTGGGTGGTGCCGTGCGATATGGCCATCGTCAAGGGCACGACGGTGTGTGACGAGTCGATGCTGACGGGCGAGTCGATGCCTGTGCAGAAGTTCCCGATCCCGGAGCGCAGCACGGAGGTGTACGACCCGGAGAAGAGCAGCAAGAAGCACACGCTGTTCGCCGGCACGCGCGTGCTGTCCTCGGGCCGCAACGAGGAGATCCTGGCCATCGTGCAGACGACGGGAGCTCACACGACCAAGGGCCAGTTGATCCAGTCCATCCTGTTCCCGATCCCCATGCGCTTCAAGTACAACGAGCACCTCAAGATGCTGATCTCGCTTCTGCTGATCTACGCCGTCATCGCCTGTATCCTTGTCATCAACTTCCTGCTGAGCAACGGCAAGCTCAGCAACCGCTACGCCGCCTTCTGCTACGCCATTTTCGTGCTCTCGTGCGTCATCAGTCCGCTTTTGCCCGTGGTCATTACGGTGGGCCAAGTAAACGCTTCGCAGCGCCTCGAGAAGCAAGGCATCTTCTCTCTCAACGTCCAGCGGATCACGCTCTGCGGTAAGGTGCGCATCTTCTGCTTCGACAAGACTGGCACGCTTACCAAGCAGGGCCTCGACTTCCTCGGCGTGCAGCCCGTCAAGGACTGCAGGTTCACGCCGATCGTGAACGACGTCAAGGACGCGCCGTCGGCCGAAGAGCTGCTGTACGCGCTGTCGACGTGCCACTCGGTCGGGTCGCTCGAGGACCGCCTGGTAGGCAACGAGGTGGAGGTGCGCATGTTCACGGCGACGGGCTGGGAGCTGGTGGAGAAGGAGGGCGAGCAGCCGTGCGTCAGGTCCAAGGTGGACCCGGGTCTCGAGCTCGAGTTCGTCAAGCGCTACGACTTCGACCACCACCGCATGTCCATGAGCGTGGTGGTGCGCAACCGCAGGAGTGGCAAGTACTACGTGTTCTGCAAGGGCTCGTACGAGCGCATGCAGCAGCTGAGCTCGGCGGCCAGCGTGCCCGGCGACTACAAGAGCGTGGCCGACCGGCTCGCCAAGGACGGGTGCTACGTGCTGGGTCTGTCGTACCGCGAGCTGCCGAGCGACTGGACGCACGAGCAAGTGGTGGCGTTCGCCGGCAACCGCGAGGCCGTGGACGAGAACCTGTCGCTGCTGGGGCTCATCCTGTTCCGCAACGAACTCAAGGACGACACGGCCGACGCCATCGCCAAGCTCAAGGGTGGCGACATCCGCACCGTCATGATCACGGGCGACAACGCCATGTGCGGCTGCTACATCGCGCGCCAGAGCGGCATGGTGGACTCGAGCTCGCGCGTGATCCTGGGCGAGATGGTGTCGACGAAGGAGGCCAAGAAGCTAGTCTGGCGCGACGTGGACTCGGAGGAGGAGTACGACCTGGCGGGCGTCAAGCACCTGGTCGCGCAGGGCGAGGACGTGGAGCTGGCCGTCACGGGCGTGGCGTTCGACTACCTGGTGGCCATGGGCGAGATCAAGGGCCTGCTGCTCAACATCCGCATCTTCAGCCGCATGACGCCCGCCGGCGTCAAGCTGCATATGGAGACGGGAGCGGTCACGGGCATGTGCAGCGAGGGCGGCAACGACTGCGGTGCGCTGCGTTTCGCGCACGCGGGCGTGGCTCTCAGTGACGCGGAGGCGTCGGTGGTGTCGCCGGGAGAAGACGATTCAGTCGGTGGTGGACCTGTGCCGCGACCTCTTTTGCGTCGGTCAAGTTCCTCATCATTTATGGCTTGATCGGGTCGGTCATGTGGTGTTTCCAGGCCTACCACAACGTTGTTATCTCTCAGTGGTGCTGGATTCTAACGGACGGGTTTTCGCTACTGGGGTGCTCATACATGATGACGCTGTCGAAGCCGCTCGATGAACTGAAGGCTGTGCGTCCGACGTCCAGCTTGATGGGACCCACTACCCTGTTCTCTCTATTCGGCCAACAGGTTATCAACGTCCTCTTCCTGTCCTGCGGCGTCCATATGCTTTCCAGCGAGGTTTGGTACTGTCCGTTCTCGCCTGAGAACATCGATATGGCCAAGTGGTGGTTGCTGGGGGACAACCATCTCTCCACTCTCTTCTTCTTCACGATCATCTTCCAGCAGCACACGGCCGGGTGGGTCTTCAGCTTCGGTTCGCGGTATCGCCAAGCGATCTGGAAGAACTACCTGCTCATGGCGTTCTTCGCGGCTGCCGCGACTCTCGATCTCTACCTGCTACTAGGCGAACCTAGCGCCTTCACGGATCAGTTCCGCATCTCGAGCAGTCCCAACGTCGTGGGGCTTCCGGACATCCCCATGCCCAAGAGCTTCCGTCTCAAGTACCTCGGTATCCTCTTGGGCAACGTCGCCACCTCCATCGTGTTTGAGAGCTTTGTCGTTCTCAGCCCCGTACGCTCGTTCTTCCGCAAGAAGTACCACACCGATGCGATCCCGATGCGGAGGTGAGATGGCGATTGAACCGGTAGTGGTAGATGATCTCTCGACCAGGTCGAAAGCAGGTAGGCAGGTAGACAGGAACCAGTACGCTAATTTGTATGAAAATTCGGATTGAATGCTATGCGGTTTCCCCTATCACGGCATTTTTGGGTCGGCTCTAAGAGAGGCTAGTGCATCGATAGCCAAAGGGACAAAGGCATAACGTAGGCAGGCACCATACGTAAAACCGGCAACAACATCCCCGAACTCTCGGCTTGGGCACCAACAAGTATTAATACATTCAACCATCGAAATGACGTTGAAGTTGTCGTGACCAATCACAGCGCGGTGAATTATCTTCTCTGGGATTAGTTGAAATTCCGCATCCTTGCTATGATTGGCTGAAATGATCGTGGGGCCTACGAGCGGCTCACTTTGACAAGCTCCAGCAGCTCCAGCACCTTCCTCATCGCCATGGTCTTCGCGTCTCTGACTCGCTGCGCGCGCCCCGCGCCGCTGCGCCTGGCCCGCCGCCTGAGCACCTACAAGCCGGACATCGAGGCTGTGAAGAAGCTGCGCGCCGAGTCGCAGGCGCCGCTCAAGGACGTGCGCGCCGCGCTGGTGGCCACGAGCGGCGACTTCCCGGCCGCCTTTGAGTGGCTGCGGAAGAAGGGCATCGCGTCGGCCAGCAAGAAGGCCGGTCGCGCCACGGCCGAGGGCCTTGTCGGTGTGCAGGTGGCTGACGGCGGTCTGACTGCCGCCATGGTGGAGGTCAACAGCGAGACGGACTTCGTGGCCATGAACGACAAGTTCCAGGCGCTCGTGAGCAGCGTGGCCTGCGCCCTGGCCCAGCCCGCGTCCGCCGCCAGGGTGGTGACGCAGCTGCCCACGGACAAGCTCGCCCTCGTGGAGGTGGAGGGCGCTACCGTGGCCGACAAGGTGCCCGAGCTGGTCGGCGTCGTGGGCGAGAACGTCGTGGCCACCCGCGCCGTGCAATTCCAGCTCGAGGAGGGCACCATCTGCAGCTACCTGCACAACGTGGCTGCCCCCGGCCTCGGCCGCGCCGGCGCCCTCGTGGCACTGCAGTACCCGTCCAAGTCGGCGTCGGCTGAGCAGGTGGCTGGCGTCAAGGAGCTTGGCCACCGTCTGGCCATGCACATCGTGGCCGCCAAGCCGCGCTTCCTGACGCGCGAGACCGTGCCCGAGGCGCTGGTCGAGAAGGAGCGCGCGTTCCTGGCCGACCAGGTCAAGGACTCGGGCAAGCCCGCGCACATCGTGGCCAAGATGACGGAGGGCCGTCTCAATAAGTTCTTCGGCGAGTTCACGCTGCTGGAGCAGGACCACTTCATCGAGGAGGGCAACCCCAAGGTCGGCGCCTTCGTGGCTGAGCAGGCCAAGAAGCTGGGCGTGGACGTGACGGTGGCCGCCTACGAGCGCTTCGAGGTCGGCGAGGGCAAGGAGGAGGAGGCGTAAGTGGATTGAATGCCTGCACATGATTTAGACCAAGACGGCGAGCGCCTTGCCCCAGTCAGTATCTATCGGACAGTGAGCTGCATCGCGTGCTCGTCGGCAGTAGAGCAACCAACGCCGATAGCTGCATAACGCAGTTACGGCGGACATGTAGTAGAAGATAAAGGCAATTGACACCCCCGCTTGCTTCAACTTCGTGCTTTGTGTTGTCAATGCATGTTGGTACATGTATTAGGCTTCATCGTTGTAATATGCAGCTCTAGTATGTCGTTTGCACACAGGGTGGAGACGGATGAGAGGTTGTGTGTAGAATGGCCTTTACAGAGTCAGCGCGGGGGCTTCTTAGTACATGAAGACGGGGTTGTCCACCGTGATGACGCGCGTCTCGTTCTCGAGGGCCTCGCGCACGATCTTGGGCAGGCCGAAGAGGCCCATGTGGCTGACGCCGTCGAGGAACTTGAGCGGCTTGGAGATGCGGGACTCGATCAGCTCGTTGGTCTTGGCGATGCTGCGCTCGCGGATGGCGTTCACAGCGGCGGCGCCGTCGCCGTCCTCGACGTTGGTGGCCATGTTGAAGGCCCAGATGCAGCCGAAGGACGGGATGTCCACCGTGTAGGGCGCGACCGTGTTGAAGTTGGTCTTGAGCGTGCAGTGGATGGACGAGAAGCACTCGTCCCAGTTGTACACGGCGCCGGGGCCCGACTGGGTGACCATGAAGCCGCCCTTGTTGAGCTTGGTGAGCGCGTACTTGTAGAACTCCTCCGTGTACAGCACGTAGCCCGGGCCGGCCTCGATGGGGTCGGCGATGTCCATGATGATGACGTCGAACGTGCCGTCGTACTGCTTGAGGAAGGCGTGCGCGTCCGTGTAGTGCACCTCGAGGCGCGGGTCCTCGAAGGCGCCGTCGTTCCACTCGGGCATCTCCTTGCGGCACATGTTGCACACGAGCTCGTCGATGTCGACCATCACGACCTTCTCGACCGACTTGTGCTTGAGCACCTCGCGGGCCGTGGCGAACTCGCCGCCGCCGCCGATGTAGACGGTCTTGGGGTTGGGGTGCGCCAGCAGCGCCGGGTGCACGAGCGTCTCGTGATAGATGGCCTCGTCGTTCTTGGCCGACTGCGTCTTGCCGTCCAGCACGAGCGTCTTGCCGAACGAGTGCGTCTCGATGATCTGCATGGTCTGGAACTTGGACTTGGCCTCGAACGTCACGGTCTTGAGCGCGGCCGACAGGTACAGGTCCTCGGTCAGCGCCTCCTTGTACCAGAACGACTTCTCCATCGGGGCCAGCTCGGCCTGCTCCGTGGCGATCGCCTCCTTCTTCTGCTGCTCGGCCATGCTGACGCTACTGCTACTATTCGGTGCTAATGACGGAATGAGCGGCTAGCGGGGCCAGGAGCGCGTTGACACGCATGACTCGGCCGGCTTTGCCAGCCAACCACTCAGTAGCGGGATAGGGATGGGACGCGAACGGAGCTATCATTCCCGTATGATGAGCAAGCACAGCGATACTTTAAGCAAGATATACCAGCATATTCCGTGCTGAAATGATTGAACCCATGGTACCAGGTCTTCGGTGGTCGAACGTTGAACAGCGCCCGCTTCCGGTGCAATGGTGAGATATTGTTTGCTGTGTTTTAGCTGCGGCTTTGGAGCAGAGACGCAGGAAGCTCCACCGTTGTTGCTTTGGGTTGCTTACCCGATGATTCGGAGCTGGAGTCGACGATGGAGTTGATACTTGCATTGGTGTCGTCGTGGTCGCGGTGCTTGCAGTGGCCGGACGCAACTTTGTAAAAGTTGGCGCGGCGCAGCAGCATGTACGCGACGCGAAGTAGCTGCAGTGCCTCCTTCTGCAATAGCACGCACAAATATGTGAGTCCACAGCTTGTCCTTAAAAACAAAACGCCATTTGTGACGCACCTCAAGGCACGAGCCAGCGGTGAACACGTTGAGGCCAAGCAGCAGGCCGGTCCCAAAGTCGCACTCGTCGCTGGCAATCGTCGCCCGCGTGATCAGCTCACTCAACCTCTTACGCGTCGGCAACTTCTTGTCAGCGTCTTGCTCTAGTTGATGCAGCAGGTCTGCGAGGTCCTGTCCGGTGGTGGGCAGCTCGCGATAGCCTGTATTCGTTTTGGTGTCCACCGGGACCACAATGCCCAGCTGGTGCAGTGATGGTGCCACCATCTCCTTCGCTCGCTTAGCCCGAAGCGCCGTCTCCGACTGGGCCCTCGAACGAGATTTCTCGCCGCGATGGGCCTCGATCTTCTTACGTAAATCCGCAGCCTTGTCAGCGCCGAGACTGGACCGACGCGTTCCCAACGCGCTCTCCAGAATCTGAAACAGACTACCCCCAACAATGTCAAACTTGCACTCACTGCCGCTCTCCGCACGAACGACATACTCCGGGACTTCATCAGGAGAATCTCTGTGTCAAACATTATAAGGTACACTTTGCAGTCAGCAGACAGAGTCTCAGCATGAGCAGCTCACTACGATTGATTTACCTGAAGCACCCCCAGTGTCGGCCCGTGTCACTTGCCGTGTCAACCATCACAGTCGCCACCTCTGGGGGGTCAGCGAAGAAGCGTCCGTGCAGATACAGGGGCTTGTCTGTAGTGACCTCCTTCTTGTCCGTCGCCGCGAGCAGGTCAAACGGACCGCACAGCCGAATGTCCAAGGTGTCCACAAAGGCATCTGCACGCAACCAGAACGACCCGTTAGGCTCAATTCGGGTCACAAAGTATAACTTGCTGTTGATCCGCTGCACCGCTCACCGCACGGACTATCGGGCCGCAGCTCCGCCGCCAATTCGAACACGTCGTAGAAGTCTCCAGGGACTTTCAGGAAACACTTGGACTGCAGAAACGCATCCCACGCCACTCGCTGCTGCGACGTCGTCGTCGTCGTCTTCACAGCCGGTGAGTCTTCCTTTTCGCCAGACTTTTGACGCTTGACCGGGGTGTCGGGGCCATCCGCGGCGTCCTCGCCGCGTAGTCTCCGACTCGAGCGCCGCATTACTTCCACTTCAGGATCAAATCACAAAATTGCGAGCAAAATAAATCCGACAAGACCAAATCACAAATCTGTGGACGAAAAGGTTTCAGGACTTAGAGCGTTTTAAGAGAGAAAAGCTAAGTATTCATGAAGCGTTTCCGTGCCAGTCGCGAGTCCTTCGATTTCAACCGTGTATCTATCAAGCTGCTCGTAGCTTTTAGATAGGCTTGCCAGTAGTGCCGAAGTGATTAACGCAACCTTAATAGTCACATAAAAAATCCCATAAAGTTGCTCCAGCAACTTTATTTTTTCATTAAGGTTGCTTGAGCAACCTTGAAGTCTCCCATACATTTCCAGTGTTGAGTAAATTACCACAAAAATTCAAGTTCAGGTAAAGTATTAGTGGTTCCGTCAAATTTCACAAGGTTGCCTTAAACAACTTTCAGGTTGCCCGGTTGCTCGAAGTATGCAAGGTTGTCCCAACGCAAAAGATTCCAGCAGTGCTGGAATCTCGTCGAACACTCTCCACTCCGATAAATCCAACGTGGGCGGCAAAAGGAGCGGGAGCGCGGGTTGGTGAAGTTGCTACGCCGCGCGCTGTCCCGATGGCGTGTACGTTCCTCCAATGCTAAGGGTTTTGGCTGAGGTATCTAATTTTAGTCTACTTACGAATTCGTACAGTTACACCTGTCAAGAATCCACCTCCCGTGGATCTGGACGACCACGAGGACACAATCGGAGCATCTGACGGACTTAGGAGCAACGAAGATGGTTGCGCTGGCAAGGGTAGTAGTTCCCAGGACTCGCTTGGTGGTACGTTCATTTGTTCGTTGGTTATACACGTACTTACGCTAAAGGTTTTAGTGTTAGTGTCTGCAGACATGGAGACGTACGGCAAAGATTCGTCGTCGCCCTCTCCAAAAAAAGTCGGTGAAGGCTGCTGACGAGAACCAACCTTCTGAGCAAGGTATGTAGGGTATCCGCTTTTGTGTGGTATTTAAGAAACTAATTTCCATGATGTGTGTTGGCTAACGGTGTTATTTTCGAAGCGAATACATCGAAACGCAGCCAGACTTGCGATATTCCAGACTCGAGCTCAACTAAACGATTCAAGCAAAGTGCGCAAGATGAATTGGCGCAAGAAAACGAACAGGTGGACCGCGTTCCTCGCGAACGCATCAGCGGGACGTGGAATCAGCGCCAAGCAATCGAGCGCGCGTTTGCTGAGGTCACAAATCTGGTAGCCCCTATGCCACGGCGCGAGTTCGAGGATTGGGATGCTGTATCGACAGCGGTGCAGGCCTTAGCGCGGATAATTACCTGCACTTTCGTATTCGTGACTCTGAAACGCGTGAGCACTACAATGCGTAAGTACCTGGGTGAATATGTTGAATTTTATGGTACATACAAGGCTGACGTCTTTTTATGTGTGAAGGAATGCGAGGTTCCCCTTGCCGGACCAGTATTCCTACAAGAAAAGTGGTTTCGATGCACTCATGGGTGTATGCAAGAATCGCGAGGCGATGGTACTCGGGCACACCCGCATCGCTACACTGGCTGCAAAGCTCGCTTCAACGGGGGAAATAGTTTGGAAAATCATTTTATCCAACCAGGTATTTTTATTTATTATTGACGTATATCGACAGGTGCTAACATATTTCACATTTTCCAGACTTATACACACAACCACGTCACGAACCGCGCACTCTACGACTCATATTTCGGTGTGAGGGAAATTAGCCATGACGATTCCTCTCTTGTACCCGGCCTCGAGTTGCTCGTAGATGCAAACGCCAGTCCGAAGTACCTCACACGCTTTATTTCCAACGAGCTGGGTACGTCGTGGATTGGTTTCACGTTTTGGTATCAAGTTAATCTTTACAACGGCTTACGCTTGCAGGTAAAACGGTATTCCCACAACAGATCATCGCCAAATTGCAGGGATACACATCCGTCGACTGCCACCTACAAGCTTTGCTACAACGGGTAGCTCGAGTTGCGGGGGGAGATGTGATGGTGATGGAAGATCAACTGGGGATGACCGTCGGAATTGCTATACAGACCAAGATCCAGAGGCCGTTTTTCCAGCAGTGGGGCGAAACTTTAGCCATGGATTGGACGCACGGCACAAATAATATGGGCTTCCACCTAGGTATGTAGTGCGCTAATTCCTGTTGAAGCAGCACCGGCGACTTACCGAGTTTTTCATATCTATATTATTACTTACAGGTACATTGATGGTGACGAAACCAACTGGAAGGGGTGTGCCCGTTCTGGATTTCTTTGCCGTCGATCAACAAGCTGAGACGACGGAGGCTATCCTCGAGATTATCAAACGGCAAAACAATAGCTGGACTCAGATCGAGACGGTCGTCATCGATAAGGACTTCACAGAGTGGAAGGTTTTGCTGAAGTGCTTCCCACACGCGGAAGTATTGCTGTGTCAATTTCACGTGTATGCCTACTGGAAGAAGCTCGTAAAAAAGCGACTCTATGCCCCTAAAGCAGTGCATGGTGATGCCATCTTGAAGTATCTGATAAAGATGATCTACAGGTTTGTCTTAAGCACGCCACGCATTTTTCTTTTGCGGTTTACTAATTTTTACATTGGTGGTATTGTGATGGTAGCCGCTCTGAGCGCGCGTTCGATGCGGCTTACGAGTCCTTCGAGCGGTATTGTAACAAGCACAAGCTGAAAGAGGTCAAGGACTACTTCGATCGAAACTGGTTGAGTTGCCGTAGTATGAGGTCCGACTTCGCGAGATCAACAAAATTTACTGCTGGAAACAGCACAACGAACCGAGTGGAAGCCAATTGGAGCCAACTGAAGCCGTCGACTGGATCGGGAATGCGTTTGGACAGAACGGTTGGCCGCCTGCTAGATCATTTGATCAGCATCCTCCGGGAGCAGCTTACGGTTGCGCGCAAGGCAATGGGGAGCTCCAGAAATCCTTCGATAATTCCTGACTTTCTTCGCAAGATCTCAAGCTTGACGAGTGAATATGTGATGAAGAATGTGAGAGGAGAATGGGATGAATATATGGGTGCTGTTCAAGAGCATTTACAACCGCTCCCCAAGCAACACTAAAGCCAGCAGATGCGGCAAGCACACCATTCATCGGATTACCGGTAGCAGAAGCGGCAATCATGACCGGACAACACTATTACCAGACGATAGAGTAGTAGAGGTTAGCGACATACCCTTTGAAGCATCTACCGCGACTACAGACGTTCCCTGATTCACACGGAAACGCAGGTGAATTTGAGGGTTAGCCATCAAGTCAAGCTCACGGAAGATAGGATGCAGATCGGTGAGCTTAATCTTAAGCATGTAGTTCCACGTTCCCATGATTGCGTTAGCAGCAGTACCACCAGCTACGAAAGCTCCACGCGAGGTCTGGTTAGAAATGGTAGTCGATGCAGCAGCACCACCTACCGACGGCCACGAGCTGGAGAAGTCAGCGCCAGCCGTAGGAGGATTCGATAGAAGGCGCTTAACGAAACCATCATTAGGAATAGTTGCACCACCAGGAGGAGCCGAGACAGCAAAGGAAGACGAGAATGCCATGGTATTTGAATATCCATCACCACTGGTAGATGCGGATCCAGAACTGTATGATACCGACTGAGCAGCGTCAGGGTACAAGAACGATTCAGCTCCGTGCTTTTCAATGTACTGAGGGCTGTAGCCAGTCTGAGCACGAACGTTGTTCCAAAAGAGCTTGTAGTCAGCCATAGAGACGATAGTCTTTCCGTTGAGTTCCAGACTCAGACTATCAATAACGTTCCAATTTCCGCATTTTAGAGTAGCACATAGACGATTGGCAGCGGCAGTTTGAGCAGTGCCACCATTCTTCATTGAGACCTTGTAGGGAAGCATAATGTAGGCATCACGAAGGCTTGCGAAGCCCTCGGAACCGTTAAGCTGAGCCGTAGCATCGATAGTGATGACACCATTCTGGTACGAACCCTGATTTAGGTCAATAACGTGCGGTACACGCTTGCTCGAAGATACCTTGATCTCCGGGTAGCTCTTAAGCGAGCTATGGTAAAAGTACTGATCGGATAGTTGAGTTTCGCTCATCGTTGAATCTATATGGATCCTAATATAGTTTGATAAAATTAAATATTATGTCGCACCTCATTAAGCCAATCACCTCAGATCATGATCTCATTGAACTCGCTGAGAAAATGAACGTTCAACTCGATAATATATTCGAATCAAATGAGATAAAGTCCCATCTCCCCAAGAAAGGGTCATTTCGGATTCTACTTCGCCCTCCTAATCTTGAGGTAGGACACTGGACGGCGGTTCATAATGGTGAATTCTTCGATAGTATGGGGGAAGGACCACCAAAGAAGTATGGTATCGATCGATACAACACCAAGCAATACCAAGGAACCTATGGAGACTACTGTGGACCATTCTGTGTCCTATGGCTATATTCGAAGCAATACCGTAAGCCAGATGTATTCAAAACAATGAAAGATCTAAATTTGACAATTCTGGAATAAATTTAATTAGTAATCATGTGTCGAGAATTAACAATCTCCAGTGATATTCCTGCGCGGAAGCTTACCAAAGCTTTCAAGACTGGTAAGCTCAGCCTCACCTCAAGCGAACTAAAGGGTAGTGGTTCAGTCATCCATCTCCACCCTGCTTCGTTTGAAAAGGCGCTCAAGGCTCGTAAAGCTGGA